AAAACTATTCGATTTCCCATATAGCTCCGACCTTCCACTATTGGGTTATCATTTATTTTGAAGTTTACTAAACTTCTTAAAGGGTAAAAATCTCTGTAATAATAATGACCTTAAATCACACTAGGTTGAATTTTTTGCTGGTAAAGATAATAAGTTCTATGAGTACATAATCGTGAAATTACCAAAAAGATGGCAGAAGGTCATGGAATAGAATTGAAAATATCTGACTGATTAAAGTTTATTTTTTTGTATAGGAAAAAAAAAAAAAAAAAAAAAAAACTGTTTCACATTAAAAAAAAAAAACCGAAATTACTTTCTTGTCAACCGGATATTTTTACTTTATGTTAGATTTTTCAATCACAGTTGTTATTTCTAGACTTTTTTTTTTCCTTTTTAGAATTTTATTTTCATTAGTTGAGTTGTGTGATTGAATTATAGTTTTTCAAATAGTTATTTTAAAAATTTCTCTTTATTCATTTGCATTATGTATTTCTAAACATGTTTATTTACATTATTATTTTTTAATTTGATTTTATTTATTTGAGTAGCATTTCAATACCCAGTATTCATCTTTGAAAACTGCATGCTGCATTAAAAGAGAAAATACTGTAATGCACAGTTAACACTTTTTTTTTTTTTTTTTTTCCAATGGGCCGTTCAGAAAAGATATATAAATGAGAAAGTTATGTAATCTTCATTTTAATTTAAAATGATTATGCATACAAGCAATTTTCCATGGTTTATCATTGTGCCATTGCTTTACACAATTTTATCATCCTACATTTAGTTTGTTAAAATAGTATCCATATTTCCAAATAAGTTCTAATTGTAAAAAATCAAATAGCATAACATAAAAAGAGACTATATTTTATGCAAATAAATAAATAAAAGTAATTAAATAAAAATTAATTAATTAATATTTTTTAATGACTAAAATTTTTCTTCTAAATGGCTTATTGCCTCAAGATCTGCAGATATACTCATAATCATCCTCCCTTTTTCAGTCACTATATACTCACTTTTAAAACAGCATGTTTTCTGTGACATTCTTACCTTTTTGTGTATTTAATCTGAGTGTTCTGAATTTTTAGATGAGCGAGCTTCTGACAACTGTGTCTTGCTGTTAGTATTTTTAACCAGCTCTGTTTAAAAAATATATTCTGGATTTAGCATTCTTGCTAGCCGATGCTTTAAATATATGCTATATATATATAAGCCAGCTTATTTTATTTAATGTGTAATGCTTTGCTCAATCTTTCTCCCATCTAAAGATGAGATTAGATTTTAAGATTACCAAGACTAACTGGAAACTAGAGTCAAACTCCTGCAGATCCTACTGGGCAGGTAGTGAGCTATCATTATAGCTTGAACAACTTCTAAAATACAGAAAAAAATTAAATAATCTTTTTACTTTACTCTCAGTTTGAACATAAAGACACAACATGTAATAAAGACAAAATTTTCACAATTTGTGGCTATTTTAAATTAATAGAACAGACAATTATATTTGAAAATTGATAATGTAGTCTAAGACTGCATATTAAATAGAGTAAGCTGACTCATTTATTTTACTGCACATATTTAAAGCATTAGCTAGACAATATGCTAAAGCCTCATTATAATTTTTAAACAGAGCTGGCTGAAAACTAACAGCAAGACATGATTGCTAGCAAAGCCAAATAAATTTTAATGCATATAAAATGAAGTTATGCAAAACAGCGGATGATACAATGGCAAAGCTAAAAATTTACTCTTATGACAGAAAAAGACATCTTTTAACTAAGCAAAACAGCAGTTGATAAAATGGCAAAGTTAAAAATTTACTCTTATAAAAAAGAAATCTTTTTAACTTTTGATTAATATTCTTTATAAATTTAGAAAGTTACTTTTTATGTATTATTTATAAATATTTATTAGGCATTAATAATAAAAATAAAGAATTCTCCATGAATGATCCTCAGTAAAAGTTTGTTTGGAAATTTAAGATTCAAAATAACTCTTCAGATTTGTTAAAGAATATGACAAAGGGCATAAAACACATTTGGCATTGTTATCGCTTATAACAAATATTCCAAATTTCAGTAATGCTCCATTATATAAATTCACATATATAAGATTATAAATATTTCAAAGTACACATTTTTTAAAATATGCAAATTTTTATTTTGAACCTAAAATTAATTATTTATTATTGAACTAAATTTAAATTCTAAATGAAGGAATAAAGTAAGAATAATAAAAAAAGAGATATTAATAAATATATACCAAATACAATTAACACTGAGGAGCTAAAATTCAGAGACCCAATTTTTAAAAAACTATGTGGTTATATGTGGTTTTTATGAAACTTGGCACTTTTGCATAATTTGAAGCATAGGATCAAAGTATGGGAAAAAATTTCAGTATGCCATTTCAGAAAAAAGTCTGATTTTGTGTTAAAATACCTATGTTAGAACAATGCTATATGCAAATCTAATATGTACTTTTGAGACACAAAAGATGAAAGCTGAATTTCATCAGTCTCCCCGGTAGAACAAGAGATATAGAACTGTCACCTCCCCCCCTTTTTTTTTGATTCGATGTACATATTCTATTTCTTTGAAGATTGCTGTCTGTCTCATAGTAATACAAAACATGACAGTACAGTGAATGCACAATAACATTAATTAGAATAATCATGTAATTTAAACATAAGGTAGCTACAAATAAAGCATTAACTTACATATAAGTTTATATGCCAGTTTAAAAGCTCGAAAACTTTTTATCACATATCTTAAAATCTGCATGTAGGAAAAAAATCTACTTTTTGATTACCTGCCTCTCCCCTCCTGAAAAGCCTCCAACTCATTGATGACTAATTTTTTGACAAGTTAATACATGAAAAGCAACACCTAATTTCAAAATGTTGGGATACTAAGAATTCTATAAAAGAGTAATCAATCAACAAAATTAAAAAATAAGAAGCATCCACCTTAAAACACCCTTTTCTAGAAATCGTTATGTAATTTTTTTGCACTGTTCTCTCCAAGTACGCAGCAACCTGCTCTCACTTAAAAAAAAGAGAGAGAGAGAGAGCAGAGAATGGCATGAACTTAACATTCCTTGTGTTTTTATTCTTTCCATGTATGCAACAATTTGTTTTCTGTTTAAAAAAAAAAAAAGTCGGATAACTACATAAATTTGGTATTCTGCATTCTAACACTTTGCCTGCTATTTTTACAAATTGTATTTCTATAAAATTCTGTTGTTTAAGAAAGGTATCATCATGGAATGAGAATATTTGCATATTTGCATTCTCTACTGTTGGAAAAATTGCCATATTTTTAAGGAAATGCAATGCTTTCTTTTTCATCAGTTGGCAAACTCCACAATCCAGTTGCGGTTAGTCCCAGAGAAAAGAATGAATTCAGTAAAAAAACAAAGTCAGAGAAATGACTCTCAAATTTGGAGGGCTGCATGCACACGTAAGAAGGTTGCCGCATAAATACATTTTGGTGACACCATGTTTGCAACATCACTAATCTCATGACATATTGTGTTGTCTTGTGAATATGTTTCAGAGGTGGGAATGCAGATAATGAAAAAGTTATATACATATTTAACAGTTGTATATTTATGAATTTACTCTGAAAGTTATAAATAATATAAAAAAATCAAAAAATATTTGTCTCTTTTTAACGTAATTAAGATACAATAACACACCGAACAAATATTAATTTAGAAGTCAAACAATAAAAATCAGTGTTATGTTTTCGAATTTCACAGGACTAGTTTCGATGGTTTTACCGAACCATCATCCTCAGTTGCAAAAGCGTAAATGAACGAGATAAGATATAATGATTAGATAAGATAAGATAAGAAAGCCTAGACAGGAAACAAGCTACTGGCACCATCTGTCGATGAAACCAGAAATAAAACATAATTTCTTTAAAGGCTGAAGGCAAAGATGGATTGGAATTAGGGTCATTAACTATAACAAAGATTTTTTTGAGTGTGTGAAATGCTTCTAGAAAATCCACTTCACCAATGGAAGATGTTTTTTCAATAATTTTGGCAGCAAAAAAATTGAAAGTGTGATTTTCGTACCAACAGGTAACAGAAGACTTCTGTGTTTCCTTTTTTCTAACATATGCCTCATGTTCCTTAATGCGAAATTTTAAGGCTGTCTTAGTTTGTCCGATGTAAATTAAACCACACTGGCAAGGAATCCTGTAAATACCCCAGGAATTCATATCCGGAATGGAGTCCTTGAGTATGGAACTCGGAATTTTATTGATGGGAGAATAAATGACCTGAAAGTTAAATTTCTGCAAAATATGTTCAACTTTATAGCTAATTGATGGAATTCATGTTTTTGACTTGTTCTATTCTTTAAAGCTTGTATCCCCCCCCCAATGATAGGCAAAATGCTACAAAGAACTAAAATCTTATAAACAGAGGTTACAAACAGTAGAACTAAGAAAAAAAATGACCGAAGTCATTTCCTAAAAAGCATGCTTGCCTCCCAGTATCTCGACCCTTCTGTAAGACCACAAAGAGTCCTACATTGGAGCAGGTGGTCTTTGTCCGTTTCTTCTTCAAAATCACAAAGTTGGTAAATAGGATCGCTTGAAATGCAATGTGGTGCAGGTAGGCAAGCAAGACAGTCATGGCTTGTAGACAGACAAAAAGCCGCAACTGCATTGCATTTTGGACTGTTGGGAATAAGAGAAGAACTTAACGTTCTCCAACTTTTTAATGCTGTACAAGTCTGAAGATCTTGTAAGATATTATATGGAAATAAATTTTTAAAAAACAGTTTAATCGTCCAATAAGAAATGAGTGTATAATAAGTGAGTGCAACATAGATCCACCTCCTTGTGGTGCACCTTGGAAACACTTTGCAGCTAAGTGATCTACAGTTTTTGCATGCAGTCTTTCTACTCTTCATCCAAGCTTCTAAAATTATAATTCCATATATTCTTTTATTTTCATTATTTACATTAATTTTGTACTATTTGCTATATTTAGGTTAATGTCTGGAAGAGAAAGTTTGATGAGAATAATAAAGATTTAGCTGAACCACCAACTAAAAAGGCTTCATCCACTCTTCAAACCAATGAAGAAAATACTGATGATAAAGATGTTTTAAAAATGCAAGATCCTTTTGACAAGGAAACATCTTCCACCATTCCGGAGAATAAAGAATTTGACCATAAGTATATTTTTAAAAAGGAAGGATATAACAACAGTAAAACAGCTGCTGTAAATAGTGGATTGCATTCTAGTGGTACCCAACCTGGTAATCTGTGGTTTTACTTGTATATATAAATAGGAAACTAAATATTATTATTAATTTATTATTCCTATAAAAGGAAACTTAATATTATTGAAGAACACAATCTTAAAGTTTTCACTGTGTTGCTACTGAAATTTTATAAATAGGTACAATTTAATAATGAGAAATATTGTACATGCTAGTAATTTAACAATAGTTCCATTTTCTGAAAAAAATATTTAATTATCAACATGCAGTATTAATGTTATTATTATTAATTTAAAACAAGAATCTAGTTTTATGGAATTGTGACTTTTGCGAAGTTTCATTATAACTGTAATTTGATTTTGGTGTATCAAAATATTCAAGTCAGAGAATTTCTAATATACATTACATTTGATGTTTGGAATGTCTTTTGTAAAATCTACCAAAAAATTTTAGACCATTGCGTTACATTACATTTCCGTGCATTTAAGCATGCATGTGACTTTGCAAATACTGAAGTTGTGCAAATATCCTTAACTAACCTTTCATTCAAATGTGCTAGTTTCCATTTGAATTCTCAAACATTTATCTGTAAGAACCAGATGTTATAGCATTCTGATTAATAATTAAGTTTAATTGGACACATTTACTCTATAGTTATTAAAACTGATAATAGCTTATGTCGAGTATTAAAAACCAGTTTAGAAGTGGATTTTTGATGTGCATACACAATACACATATACAGCTGTAAAATATTTATTTTTATTTAAGTATCACATTATTTATTATAAAGTTTTGTAGGTAATAATAGATTCTAAAAATTCCCTGAAGGACTGTTGTTTTCGTTTTGCGATTTTGAATTGAATCACTATGAATGTTCGTTTCACTTTTCAAACTGTTGCCACCAAATGTTAGAGTCCTGCATTATGTTTGAAGAAATTAAATAATGAAAAATCTGCGTAAATGTATGTAGATTTCTCACATTGTGATAAAACAACGGTACATAGAGTCATCGAATTTTTGAATGATGTTATCTTACTGTGAATATGGGCATGTGGAAGATCAAATTTGGAATTTGTTTTATTATCGATTTCATATTTTGTAAAAGTTTAAAAAATTTTTGAGTAACAACGATTTAAAAGCAAGCAATGGTAACACTCTACGGGGCAAAAAAAAATGTTTTTATTTCCAGTGCGTGGAACTGTGTAGAAGAAATTCTAAAGATATGCTCATTTTAAAATTATTTTGCGATATTGCTATTGAACTGAATTTTATGGTTTAAGTGCAAAGAACATGATATTTAATAAATAAAGCTAACACACAAAATGTTAAAAAAAAATGTCCCTTTGAACATAATTTAAAATCTGAAACTTTTCCTTTTTTTTTTTTTTTTGCGTGTGTGTGTGTGTGTGTATGTATGTGTGTGTATAATATCATTATACTTTAATTTAACAGTAGACTATCACAACATTACTAAAATGCTTTGTTTCTGAATCATGTGTGGTGGGCCTACCAGTAACTGAATGCATAAGACTGCTGAACACTGGAAGTTTACCTGAGGTTAATTTTTCAGCAATATGGCTGGTTGCATGTTTTTTCCTACAATGTAATGTGAATACTTGGCTAGATGTAAAAAGTTTTCATTTTCACTTTAGAAATGTCCTCATGACATTTAGATAGTCCTTGCATGCTTTGCTATACTCAGTTAAATATACAAATAAGTAAAATTATATATCCAAGAAGTAATTAGTGCATATTTTATCATTTTATTCTAAAAAAAAGGAAAATTGAGAATAGTTGTACGTGTTCAGAAGTTTTTATTTATACAAAATTTCGAAACCTGATAATGTTTAAAATTATTTGAATAGTCTAAGGCATTGTAGCCTGTGATTGGTTTATTCTAATTGTTACTGCCTAAAAAATTAATTTTTAGTGTCTATTTGTAGTTCAGATTCACTAGGATGCCTTTTTTTTAAATCTTTTCTTTCCTACACTTTTTTTCTTCCTTGTTTTTTGTATGTGTGTGTGTTATACTTTGCAATTTTTTTTTTTTTTTTTTTCATTTTCCTACGAAATTATACTGAACTGTCTAAGACTGTCACAGTCTTGACTTTATGTGCTTTAAAATCTATATTTGGAATAGATCACAAGTATCTGGCCTTTTAGATGTGAAGAAAATAATTAGCCAATTCCTTTGAATGAAAACTTGAGCAGTAGTAATAGGGACCAGTGTAAAGAATTTATGTAAGGAATTTTTAATTTTTATATTCATATTTTATGTTGGGGGTTCACTTTTCCAATGTCATATCAGAAACGGCAAGAACTTTTTTGGGAACCTTGTATTTCAGAGATTACACATAGTAAGATTTCATATACTACACATAATGTTGATTGATTTGAATGCAGCCTTCTTGAGGTAAGAAGATTAGAAAAACAGTAATGAGCATGCCTCCATGTTGTCAGTAATTGCTGCTATGCGCCATGACATTGAGTGAAAAGTTTTTGGAGGAGTTGAGGACTTCATTATTAACAAAAATAAAAGAAACAGAGAATTCAGATTTTAGAATAGCACCACAGGGATTTTTTTTTTTAATCCCAGATCGGGCTATTAGTCCCCAAATGGGATTTTCCATTCGTTCAGTATAAACAGTGTATCACTTTTAAAATTTTTGTCACCAAATATTATTCTTATTATTTTTAAAAAAAATTAAATAATAAAGAATCTGTATGAATGTATGCCTGTTCTAATAATACCTAGATCCATCACATTTTGAATAATATAGTCCTCCACCCAAACATGTGCACCTGGAAGCACAATTTCTGCGTAACATAGTCCTCCACCTGAACATGTGCTCTCCAAATTTTGAATTTCGAATTTGTTTTATTATTTATTTCATATTTCATAAAACCTAAATGAATTTTTAATTAACAAGTTCAATGATTTGAAAGCAAGCAGTAGTAACTCTGTTCAAAATAAAACAGTTTTTTCTCCAGTGCACGAGACTGTTTCCATTTGGAAAAATGTAAGATATTTATCTTTCAACTTTAATTAACAAACTGTTTTTAAATCTTTTGTGCTTTTGCTGTTGAATTCATTTTATGTGGCATAAGTGTGAAGAACGTGATTATTTAATAAGTAAAGTTGACACAAAGGTAATAAAAAGACAAAAAAAATTTTTTTTGTTAGCCATCTTGCTAAGAAAACTTAACACTGATATGATGAACTAAGAAAAGACTGGAAAAAGTAGGAAAATGTATGCCAGCACTTAACTCTGCATCAGGATTCTAAACATATGCTGTATGTAGCTTTTAAATTTTTTTTGATTTTGTTGTTGAATTGTATTTGACATTAGTGGGAAGAAAATGATGCTTGATAATAGAGCTAAAATGACAAAAAAAAAAAAAAAAAAAAAGGGTGAGGTTAATAGGAGTGTGTGCAACAGCGGAATGGTAGATCGAAGAGTGTTAGGAAAAAGTATAACCTTAGCAAACCCTTTTGAGTTATCGTTAAAATCTGAAAAACTTTATAAATTTTTTGTTTTCAAATTCTCTTGCTGAGCTTTCAGTTTATGAGCCTGCTCTTGGGCTTACTCCTGTTGACTAGTGTTTCTTTTATGAAATATTTCTTATATATATATATAAGAATATATATATATATACTCTGCTGGGCATCCAAAATGCAACGCAAAAACAGACAAAAGATATCAAGCACAAGACAAGTCACATTTACAAGGTAACCAAAAAAGTTCTTGCTGTTTTGGACAGTCAGAAAGAAAAGTCATAAAACAAATAAGAATCACCGGTAATCCTCAAAGTAATCACCATCGGCATCCAGTGCCTTTTGCCAATGAGTGGCTAGCCGTGCAATACCATCGCAGTAAAACTCAGAAGTGTTGGATGCAAAGAAGTCCATGAGGTCCTTTTTGAGGTCTGGCCAGTTGTTGAAGCATTTCCCATGAATATGGTTGTCCAAGGAATGGAAGAGGTGGTAATCTGTTGGTGCGAGGTCTGGGGAGTATGGTGGATGGGGTAGTGTCTGCCAACCCAGTCGCTGAATGGTATCCCTGGCCTTCTGAGCCACATGTGGCCTCACGTTGTCATGGATGATGAGTACACCCTTATAATTAACCAATTGACCTCTTTATGCATCAGTGTCTGATGCATACACTCCAACTTCTGCGAATGCAGGCCTGCCAACCGCTGTGTGGTGCATCTCTAAAAGACATATCCCTTGACCTGAACATCTGGAACCATTGCCTAGCAGTTTGTTAACAGCATCATCCGTAAAGGCCTGGCGAATTCAGCGACTTGATTCTGCTACTGGCAGTCCCACTTTAAAATCATACATAAAAACTCTGAATGAGCACCTTTGACGCATCCATTTCTATCAGTCGCTGTGTGAGTTAGGTTTGGCGACTATTTTTATGTTTGGGGTTCACTCTTCCAATGTCCTATCAGAAACAGCAAGAACTTGGGAACCTTGTATTTCAGAGATTACACATAATGTTGATTGATTTGAAATGCAGCCTTCTTGAGGTGAAGAAGTTTAGAAAAACAGTAATAAGCATGCCTCCACATTGTCAGTAATCGCTGCTACGTAGCATGACGTTGAGTGAAAAGGTTTTGGAGGAGTTGTTGGGGAATTGCAGCACTTGCTGCCTCCACATGTAGGCAAAGTTCATCTAGCATACTGTTGATGCAGCATGCCAGGCTATTCATTGACAGGATATGTTCAATGGGTGATAGATCTAGAGAACGAGCAGCCAGGGTAACAATGCAGTATAGTTGGCTATGAAAAAAGCTTGAACATTGTGTGGAACATGTGGTTGTTGAAATATGTTTGCAGGCAAGCCCTGAAGGTAAGGAAGAGCAGGTTGCAAAACTTCAGAGATATAGCATTGGCTGGTAAATGTACTGATAATGCAGGGTGGCAGATGGGTGCAGGAGTGGAATCCAATACCAGCCCACACTATAACGCTGAGCACAGAACCAGTATGATAATGCATAGCATAACAGTTGAACAGCCTTTCTCTATGGTATCTCCAAACTCTTATCTGACCATCATGGTAGTGCAGGTAGAAGCAGGATTCTTCCCAAAACACAATATCATGCCATTCAGATGTTCATCTCCACTGTTCAGTCCACCATTGCAAATGCAAATGCCTGTGATTTAAGTAAAAGGTAAGAAAAGTAATGAACACCATGAACACCTAGTAGACAGTTGATTGTACTGTAAAGAATGTTGAATTGTTCTTGCTGACACCGATGGTTATGTTACATACTGCATTCATTATGATATCATTGCAGATGTGGCAGTGTGCTGTGTCAGTGCCATGTGCACAATATGCCTGACTTTCCATGTAGTGGTTTGACAAGGCAGTTGCAATTCCTCCTACCCATCAGTCATTCCTTCTGCATCCCTGAATCCATATTCACATGACTGTTGCTTAGCTACTTCTGATGTGCTGACTGATTTCCTGAAGGATAATATGCAATGTCTGTATGCAGCAAGTCTGACTTGATTGAATTCAGAAAGAGGCTCTAATGATGCTCATATTTTTCTACGAGGCATACTGAAGCTGCACACACATTAAGTCTCACTTGCAAGGACACATGGGATTGCCCATAATGTGCACATGCACTGAAGTTATAGTCATATGCATATTCCATCATCATATACAAATGATGCAAATCCTATTCTGTTTGGAGGCTTCCTTCGTAGTGTTGCATTTTAGATGGCCAGCAATTTATATATGTATGTTTGTGTGTGCATGTGACCAACTTTTGATTTGAAAAGTGCTATACCGCAAAGGTGGGGATTGAAAGTAATAGTCGCCTGTGATGCTAAAAAAAAAAAGACTGTTAATGTAAAATTCAAGAAAGTATCATTTCTCTTTTTCATAATCATTGTATATACAATGAATAATATATGATTTATATACTTGCATGTTTCTCCCCTTGCATATTTTTCCCTGTAGTTTTTTTCGGCATGTGATTCAAAAACTTCTGGTTTTTTGGTAACAGCATAAAATATGTGCACAAATGAGGAAATATTTTATGTTGGTCTTAATAAGTCTTTTGAAATATATAAATATTTTATGTATGCTTTTTAATATGCTGTGTTTATTACTTAACTTATTTTTTTTCTTTTGAGAAATAGTATACAACATGTTTTCAAGCATCAATATTAGTAAGAAAAGGGGGAAATATACTAGTGAATACTCTATTTTATTTCTAAGTTGTATTAATTTTTTGTTTTTAAATTGATTGTTTATTTAACTTTTTATTATTTTGCAGTTCAGCAAGTGGATAAAAAAAAGCCTTTTAACCAAATCATGTGCAAAGTAAATTTTGTCCTGAGTGGATTTGTAAATCCTTTAAGGAGTGAGTTGAGAAATAAAGCTTTGGAAATGGGAGCTGAATATAGAGGAGAATGGGATAGTTCTTGCACCCATCTTGTGTAAGTTTAAAAAAAAATTTTTTTTGGAAGTGGGTAATTAAACCTCAGGATATGTTAACTTAAATATTTATTAATTTCAATATTAAAAAGCTATGTAGCGTATTCGGAAACTAAGTACCGTTTCATTCTAGCGCCGTCGCAGTGCTGTGGTAGGCGTCCCGCGCATGCGCACTAGTTTTTTTTGTTCGCTGACTCTCAATTGTCGCCATTTTGGTTGCTCTATGTTGTGTTTTCAGTTTGCTGTGCACATTCAAAATGTTTAAGACAATTACTTCTCCCGCTGACTGTGAGATTCGTGCCGTGATTAAATTTTTGAACGCGAGGAATGTTAAACCGGCCGAAATTTATTGTCAAGTGACAGAAGTTTACGGTGAATACGCGATAAGTGATGGAATGGTGAGAAGTGGGTAAGAATGTTTAATGCAGGTCGAACAAATGTCCACGCCGAGGCTGAGTGGTCGGCCTTCTGTTGTCACCGATGATTTGGTAAGGAAAGTTGATGAAGCAATTCATGAGACCAGACGCTTCACAATGACAACTCTTTCAGAGGCATTTCCACAAATTTCACGTACTGTTTTGCTCGAAATTGTATCTGACCGCCTGAATCGCAAACTGTGTTCCTGATGGGTTCCAAAAATGCTCACTGATGTTCACAAAACAAAGCGACTTGGTAAGTGCCCTGACATTTCTCACGCGGTACAGTGATGAGGGAGAAAACTTTTTAAACCAAATTGTGACAGGTGATGAAACTTGGGTGTGTCATTTCACACCAGACAACAATCAATGAAGTGGAGACACACTCATTCTCCGAAAAAACACAAAGTCAAACAAAGTGACAATGCCATCACAAAAACTCATCAGGTGCTCTGTCTTCTGGGATAGGAAAGGCGTTTGCTTACTGAATTTCTTCCCAAGAGTGAAAACCATTAATGCGGCACGATATTGTGAGACTTTAACAAAACTAAGGTGTGCAATTCAAAACAAACAGAGATGAATGCTCAGTAAAGGAATTGTGCTGCTCCATGACAATGCTCGGCCCCATACTGCTGGTGTCACTCAATCGTTAATTCGACAGTTTCATTGGGAGCAGTTCAATCACTCGCTGTACAGCCCGGACTTGGCGCCATCTGACTATCATTTGTTCCTGCACATGAAGCGCGAGCTTGGTGGCAAGCACTTTGGATCTAACGATGACACGAAAAATGCTGTGGAGTCTAGGTTATCGAAAGTGGTGGGAAGTTTCTTTGACGATGGTATACAAAATCTGGTCACCCGCTATGACAAGCATTTGATCATTGGCGGAAACTATGTTGAAAAATAGTTTAAGACGTGTATTTTCATGTAAAAATAAAATTGGATTCGAAAAAATTGTTTTACTATTTTTTTTTTTTTTTTTTTTTCAAAACGGTACTTAGTTTCCGAATACGCCTCGTATAATTTATGCAAGTTTGGTCATGTTCAAGAATTGCATAATTATACTGTTGCAGTAATTATTCCGTAAAGCTGTACAGCTTTCTTTTTTCAGATTACAACATAGGGACACTTTTTTTTTCCATTTTTAATAATTTTTGTCTTTGCATACATTAAGACAATCGGCCAAACCCATTAGACTATTTGAAACTCAAGGTAGTGTGGAGGATCAAATTCTTCCAAACCGTGACCCACTCAGTGCAAGATTCTAGTCACAACATAGAAAATATATTCTAAAAAAAGATAAAAAAAGAGGTTTGATTTATGACAGAATTCTGGTTCTGGAGCATTAATTCTTCCAACTTTCAAAAACGCTTAAGTGTTCCATCGACATTATCCTCAGTATGTTAACTGATGTGATTAACACTAATGGGATGCGGGGCATTGCCTTCTATTTTAATCCTAATACAACCCAACCGTGCAATCACATTTGTGCATTTTGTGCAATCACATTTTTATAACCAACAGTCTGCCCTGGCTAAAGGATAGAAAAGAAATAGTCAACTCCAATTTTCAGGTCTATTTGTTTGGGCATACTGAAATTCGAATTGATAAGATTAATTGAATTTAAATAATCAAGGTCTTTGCTGTCAATATTTCCTGAAGGCGAATGTGAGGTTCAGTTTTTTCTAAATGAATTTTTCTTTTCTCATGTGAAGTTATTTTTTTAAGAATGTATGCTTACCGTTTTTTTTTTTTTTAACTCAAATTAATTTTTTTCAAAAATAATTTTACATTTACATAACCGTGAGTTAATGCTGCTTCAGAATCACCAAGTTCCTTTACACAAATGTGGGCATTTTGTCTTTGGATGTTTAATTGTTGAATAAATGATTCACTAATGAAAGAAGCTTCATTTTCACTGTCGAAAAGGTTAATACATTCATGACCATGACCAGTAGAATCATAAACTATTACTGCTACTGTTGGTAAAAATTAAATACTCTGATCTTGAACAGAAAAACTCGAAATATTATTTTGTTCGTCTGAGTTACAACTTTGTTCATCAGACAGAGAGGAATATGACAACATTACGTTATTACATTTCATATCTTCATGCAGTAAAGTATGGTGTTTTCCTTTACAAATAAAACATAAAGTTTGCTATGAACAAAATTTTACTTGATGATTCCCAAAACAATTGAAGCATAATAAATTCTGTATGATATTTTCCTTGGTTGCAATATCTGCACTTTTCAATTCCTATCACTTTGATTAAAGCATGAGAACCATTGCACTGCTGAAATTTTAGAATAGAATGTTTATTATTATGTGAAACACTTAGAAACAGTGCACTGATTTTTATACAATACCCACCTTTCAGTATTATGACTATTTAACATTTCGAGTGGAACATATCTTGAGTTTAAGAATTCCCAAAACATTCTAAGGTAGAAAATTCTTCTTCGCCAATCTTTTGTGACCATAAATGGCACATTTCAGGATTAGCGCTTTTTAGTAAAAAATTATTTAGCCAAACATCTCTAGACAAAGCTTTTTCACCAAGAGATTTTAATCCACAGACAACTTCATCAGACATATCAGATAGTTTTCTTATATTAACAGGATCGGCGCTAGTAATTCTGGGTTGCTCAAGAAATATTTTGTCAAGTGACATGACAAATTAATTTTTCCTATCATAACGTTTCATCAGGTTGTCCCAAACCTAATCATATTGCTGCGTGCATACGGGTTCGTTACGAAATGAATTCGCAAGACAAATTGATATGCATATGGGTTTAGACGGAAAATGCAAAATTTTACATTTTGGCTGCCAGTGAATGAACGGTTGTCGCTACAGCGCATCTGATCTGCACAATCGGCAGGATATTTAAGAGAAGAAATTACGAAATAGTGATTCCAGGTAATAAATTCTTCACGAATTTCATTCCGTGTACTCTGGTAGACATTAACTATGCCCTCTCATACAAGTGTGCAAACGATATGTGCAGATGTCAGAATTTGAGAGAGGTTGTGTAATTGGGCTTAAAGAAGCCGGTTGTTCTTATCGTCGAATAGCTGAACATTTGAGCAGGAGCGATGCCACTATTAGACGATATTGGCAGGAATGGATGTACCATGGTCGCACATAGCGTCAAGAAGGAAGCGGTAGGTCTAGAGAAACGGCAGAACATGAAGCAATCGTCAGAGCAGCACTCACAGCCCCAAATGCATCATTATCATCGATTGTATGTGTAATTAGTGACCGCAAGGACCATTCATAGACGGCTCACAGAAAGGGGCTGAGGTCACGGCGCCCCCTTGTGCCAACTACCATTGACCTCTGTACGTCAAGCCCGTTTGCAGTGGTGTCGGGCTCATTCGCGCTGGAATGTCACTGACTGGAGTAGAATAGTTTTCAGTGATGAGTCCCACTTTGAACTGAGCCCTGATGACCATTGAAGGTGAGTCTGGAGACACCCCGGACAGCAATGTGATGCCAACCTCATTTTCTTCCGGCAGACAGGCCGACAACTAGGTGTGATGGTCTGGGGTGCCATTTCATTTCATAGTAGGACCCCTTTGGTTGTCATCCATCGCAACCTTACAGCACAGTGGTACGTCGACGAAGTTCTAAGGCCCGTTGTGTTGCCCTTCATGTAACGTCACCCTGAGCTTACATTTCAGCAAGATAATGCCCGCCCCCACACTGCACATGTTTCTACTGCCTTCCTTAGTGCTTGCCGAATATTACCTTGGCCAGCAAGGTCGCCGGATCTCTCTCCTATTGAGCATGCTTGCAGCATTATAGGCAGGGCCCTCCAACCAGCTCGGGATGTTGACGATCTAACATGCCAGTTGGACAGAATATCTCTCAGGAGGACATCCGCATTCTCTATCAATCGATGCCAAGCCAAATAACTGCTTGCATAGGGGCCAGAGGTGGACAAACGCGTTACTGACTTATTTTACTTTGTAAAGCTCTATCACTTCAATAAATCATCCAATTTTTCTCACTGTAATCATTTGTTCTGTACATGTACATTACTTCTGCCGATATTCGTCCCATTCGGATAACTCCTTCTTGGTGCGTGTTTTTTTTTTTTTTTTTTTGTTTTGTTTTTGTTTTCTTTTTGTTTATCAACATGTTAAAAATCTAATCATTTACGTGGCTTGCATTGGCTAGCATAAGGTAGTTCAAGATAAGGATTGGGCTTGCTCTTAAGAGTATTATTGCCTTATTCAATAACATAATTAGGCATAAAAATTCTGAAATATTTTATCAGTTTTTTTCAGCTTTTTTTAATGTTCTATACACTTACATGTTGCTTGTTGCTTCAATGAAATTTGCTATTTTTTTAAATTAGTTTTGTTACATATTTCTAATTTATTTTTAGAACTATTTTTATTTTGCAATGAAATTATTTAAAACGTATGAAATAAACATTTTCACAAATTTTGCCAAATAATATTTTTATTGGAGTGATGGTGTTTTTGAAGAGTTATGCATAATTTAAAGGCATTATGAGAGAGAAAAAATTGTTGAAGCCTGATGACTAATAATTTAAAGTGGAAAAAAGGTAATCATCCATAAACAGAGTGTAAATGAGAATGATATCTATCGTTGATATCTGGTTGGAAAGTCCTGATAGCATAGGAAGATATGCGGTACAAGAACAATTCAGTAATAGGAAAGGTTACACTTATCTTGATATTTCTGGAGATTATATGAATTGCTTACTTTATATTTTACTGTTAATTTATTCTTTTCTGTGGTTGTTAATTTTTAGATTTAATCTGTTTTCTGAAATACTTAAAGTAAACCCTGCTTTATTTAACTTCACTTCGACAAAAGACCAGTATTGATGCATCTTTTTGTTTACATAAGACATTAAAGATTATTTTTGCCTTTATAAAAAAAAATTGTGCATTTTTTTTTTTAAATCCACTGAGTGCACAGAGACATGAAAACTGGGTGTGGTAAAAATATATATATATATATATATATAAATCGTGAATGTAAACCGTGATCTTTTTCTCTTAATTAATCCCTGATAATTCAGTTTACCACCATCTGTGAGACTTCCATTGTACTCACTTACTCACTCACTGTCTTTCCAATTTCAAAAAGTTAAAATTCACAAAAATGATGTTTTTATGTTTGTCGCTAAATTTTTGACAACCTCAAAGTTAAATGTCAGCACAAGTTTGCTTAGGCAAAAACAGAATGATAATCTGAAAGTTATAAATCCGTAAGCATATGGCGAGACACAAGAACAAAAGCAAGCATTCAGAAATTGAAAATAATTTTTAACAGACGTATAACAAATAAAAATATAATTCTCAGCAAACATCGGGTGGCAAGTTCCATATCTTTTCCACATTTAGGACGACGGAAAGCCTTCGACAGCATCCGGCATCTACTCTCCATTAAGTAACAGCATGTTTTTCTTCCAGTTCTAAAAATTTCATATTTAAAAATTCATCACCTGTAGCACTACTCATCATAACCAAAAAAGTACATTATCAACTCCAACTGTAGAACAATATGTGTTAGCAACTCCAGCTGTAGAAGAAAAGACGTTGTCAAACTAAAATCATATTTAGACTAAGTCATTTATGCTCACGAATGCAAAATAGAAACAGTAACCGATTAATTGCAAAAATAGTAACCAATTAGAAACTCGGCGAAACCACTACTGTTATTGTAAAAAATAAAAGAGAAGTAAATTTACTTGAAAATGAATCATTATCAAACTAAAATCATATTCAGGCTCACGAATGCAAAATAGAAACAGTAACTGATCAAAAACTAGTAACCAATTAATTACAAAAATGGTAACCAATCAGAAACTCTGCAAAACCACTTCTGTTATTGTAAAAGGTACAAAAAATAAAAGAGAAATAAATTTACCTGAAAATAGGTTATCCTTTCTTCTTTATCTTCTTTTTAGTTCAGCTGACAAACCAAGATTATTGGAACTTCAAATGATGGTTTGAATAATGCTTCTGTCCCATCTGCACCAATCAGAACTTCTTAATTTAAATTATATACTGAACATGCACAAAAATGCTCCAAAATGTGCTCTCCTCCAGAGCACCAAAATCAGCCTGGATACTACTATTGATGCGCTTATTAATGCTTAAAAACCAAATTTCTGCAATTCTCATGTGTATTGTGTACTAGGATTAAACTCATTATAATTTTTACTATATACATTTCTAAAATTTGGCAGCACACTTTAAGAATTTGGTGGCACAAGTGATTGAGAATCACTCGTCTGAAATTAAATATATGCATAAGAATATCTAGCAATACTGCACATACCGTTTGCAGTAATCACTTCAAGTTAAAATACTTCATGCCAAACATAGTCTTCATGTCTTCAAAGCTTTTACTTCTCTTTCTGAAAATTATTATTATTATTATTATTATTATTATTATTTTTGGCGTCTTGTAGAATACATTAGTTACATTAGTGAACTATTGTAAATTGAACCGCTTGAGTATACACAGGGTTATCCAAATTAAACTTCCCCAACTGAGAGGCCTATGCAGAGTGTTGTATGGGTCATAATGTGATGAAATATTAAAAACAGACACTTCAGATCATGTGCTCGAGATTTATTACACAAAAAAAAAATTAGTACAAGAAGTTGCCAATAGGTGGCGCTGTAACACTAGTAATGTGCATATTGCAGCAACGTGATTTGCAGAAATAAAGCTTCTGTGCGACGTATCCAAAAGACGAGCCCTACAAAAGTGGAAGACAGGCCTTGTACAGGCAGTTATTTCCAGCTCGCTGATGCACAATGGCGACTTTGAAAGACAGAGCTCTGTTAGTGAAACTTGTCTACCATAATGACGAGAACTCCTGTGCTGCGAAAAGAGCATTCCGTCGGCTGAAGATCTTACGCCGAGGACCAATGGCACCACGCGTTCTACAAGACATCATGAAGAAGTTCGAAAGAACGACACAGCTGGGAATTTTACCAGATAGAGGACGACAAGTTGTGGAATCTGCACGCGTAGAAGACGTTGCTTTGGCGGTCGTGAACCCCACTAGTCAATCGCCACATGGTGTTGTCAGTGTGCCAACTGTTTCTCGTGCTGTTGATATGTCCTATTCAACCGTCTGGCGTGTGATGCATCGAATCCTCGGTTATTTTCCTTACAAATCCGTAGTCGTCATCAGCTGTCCGACGGGGATCCTGTAGTTCGGGAAACATTTGCATTGCAGTTCCTTGCCAGAATGAAAGTCGATGCTGCTTGGCCATGGAACATCCTTTGGACGGATGAGGCCCATTTTCACCTGAATGATCAAGTGAAGTGAATACGCACAATTGCCGCATTTGGGCAAGTGAAAACCCGCGCGCAATCCATCAAGTGCCCTTGAACCCTCCAAAGGTTACTGTATGGTGCGGTTTCACTGCAACATTTGTCATTCGGCCTTATTTTTTTGAAGAGGTGACTCCAACAGGGTTCAAAACATGCTCTGTCACAGGAAAACGGTATCAGGACATGTTGACATAGTTTGTGATCCCAGCACTGCAACAACGTGGCCGCCTCCAGGACACGATATTTATGCAGGATGGTGCACCTCCCCATATTCTTCGTGGTGTTAAACATGTTACGGGCAACTTTTACCGATGCACGTGTGATCAGCCACTGTTTCCCAACAGCTTGGCCTCTCCGCTCGCTTGATCTTACGCCATGCGACTTTTGGTTATGGGGATTCTTAAAGGATCAGGTCTACCGAGAACACCCAGCAACCTTGGCACATCTGAAAGACGCAATTATTCGACATGTTCGTGGAATTAATGTGGACTTACTGCGTTCCGCTATGGAACACAGTGCTTTGTGAATGGAAAGAGTTGTGGAGAACCACGGCACACATATAGAACATCTGTAGAATGTCCCTTTGATCTGCAGCGCCACCTATCGGCAACTTCTTGTACTAATTTTTTTTGTTTAATAAATCTCTAGCGCATGATCTGAAGTGTCTGTTTTTAAAATTTCATCACATTATGACCCATACAACACTCTGCACAGGCCTCTGAGTTGGGGAAGTTTAATTTGGATAACCCTGTATATATTTTTCTTGTTGTGCAATTTTTATGGTATTCTCTGAGATGCAGTACTAAGCTAAGTTGTATAGTCTTTTGTATATTTTAATGAAGTAATCCAGTCCAATTCAATTCAAAGCCGGTTATTGTGAAAAACCAATAGGCATATTATAATCTTTGCATATTATCTGTAAATATGTAATTTCTTTGATAGTTTTTTTAAATACTCTTTTTAAGTTTGAAAATCAATAATGAGAAATGTATTATAACTTTTTTAGATGTGCATTTGCAAATACGCCTAAATATGCCCAAGTCCGTAGTGCTGGTGGGAAAATTATAACTAAGAAGTGGATATTAGATTGCTATAAGAAAAGAACTCTCTTACCTTGGAAAGAGTGAGTATAGCAGCTAGTCATTCAAAATTGTAGTACTTCTATAAAATGTCTTTTGAATTATTTAAAAATATCTTTTGGATGAAATAGATTAAAGCTTAAATGAAAGAAGTTGTTATTTTTTAACGTTTGTTTTTTGTTACGAAAATCTGACATACCAGGAAGGAATTATTCACAGTTTCTTGCAGATGAAGAATACTTTGTATTTCAGGAAAATGAAAGTAGAGATTTGTATAGTTAAAAATATTACTGGTACATAATAGTTATTTCATGCTAAAATTAATTATCATGTGTTTATATCTAGCAGAGCATTGTTTACAACAGGGGCCCCCCAACCTTCATTTTACTGCTCTTATTTTCAGAATATCAGCATGGTGGCTGGCTATGATTTGCTAAAAATTTTGAGGAATTCACTTTTAAATGCTTTTATTGCTTTACATGATTTTATTAATTTAACCCATTAAAATATTAGTGTTTTCATTTATTATTATGCAGTATAAATTAAGTATATGTATACCTTTTAATGTGACTATCTTCTTGTGCGTCCAGCTGTCTAAAAAAGTTATTATTAAAAAGAAAAAAATATAACAATTATACTGGTTCCAGCTAGTATAATTTCATGGGTTCAAGTAGTAATCAATAATAATGTAATTGAAAAAATGCATTTAATTCTTTTAAATTATGTATGTTGTTAATCAAAAATCAAAAACAGACAGATTAAACTTGGAAAGAAAAATTAAATGTCTTACACAATGTGGAATGGCAATGCACTGGCATGTGGAAGATAAAAATATTTTATTTCCATTAGTGCCAATACTTTTCTGTTAAATCATTGATTTTTCTGATTAAATTTGAAACATGCTGTGTGGAAATACATTGCTTTTAGGTCATCAAGCTCGTTTAGGAAAATGCCATTAATTTCATACAGAACATGAAATAAATAAAATGCAAAAATTGGAATTCGATATACACGCATTTGGGTGGAAGACTGCATGTGCTGAAAATTTGGTGGCTCTAGGTGCTGCCATTTTTTCATAATATGAGGAATGTACATACATACTGTTTCTTTATTGTTGGAAGCTCACTGTTTATTAAAAAAATTTTAATAAATATTTTTGCTTGGTGGTTGTTAGTTTTTATAGTTAGTTGATATGTATTTCAAATTGTGTTGTATGTGTTATCTGTTTAATTTTACAGGTATGAGCTCGGAGAAGACGAGGAAGAAAGTTCCGATGCTGTATCAGAAAGTGAAGAAGAACCAATGACTGTTGCTGGGAAAACAATTAAACGTGAAACTTCAAAATATAATGGTAGTCTTTTTATTTTAGTTGTAGATTAATTTGCCAGTAATGGAACTGCAAAATGAAAACTTTAAATGCTTTTGATTATGTAGTTTTTGTGTTGACTGTAATTTTTTATACTTGCTTGCTTAGTTTTTGATTTAAAAATTAGTTATGTCAAAATAGACATTTTAAATTTAATTTTGAGAAATATGCATTTTTAAACTAATAACTATCGGCTGTATCATTTGTGATTTTGATTTAAATGCTCCATAATTTATGATGTTTCGTAATTTTTTGTAGTAAAACTAAATTACTATTAAAATTATTACATTGCAATTATCTTTAGATCACATATTTTTTATTTGTGTATAAAGTGTATGTTTTCTCATATACTATCAGTTGTACAAGTTTTCTCACATACAGAATAGAAATTACAGTATTCTCGAAAACAAAGATAGATTTTGTCAACATAAGAATGTGTCTGTATGCTCTAAGTTCTTTTGAAATAAAAGGTTTATTTAAACCTTTATGTATCTTTGTAGTTACTTTCAGACGTAGCGATAATTTGCTTCATGTCTTTCATTGTCGACTATTTAACTTTGACCAGATCAAATAAAACCTCATTATGTACACTGTTAAAAGATTAGCAAGTTAAGAGATAAAGAACACAACTAGTGGGAACATTGGTTTGTGTATTGAAACAGATTTTTAATTTTTAGGAAAGATGTTTAAAGAGTAAAAAATTGATATAAATTAAGCTAAAATGTCTGGGAAGGCTTCAAATTAAAAAGATGCATAAATATTTTGTTGTGTGTTGTTGCTATAAAACATATATGTTTTATAGCTTTTAATCTGGAATTATCTTAATACCGTTTAAGAATCAATGTCATAAATTGATGCATTTTAAACTGAAATGTTATTAGATTGTGATTTTAATAGTACTTTTTTAAAAAATGTTTTTAAAAAATAAATAGAATTTAATAGTGGTCATATAAATCTATAATGACTAAGGATATTTAACTACCTTATTTAATTGTTTATAACTAACTGCTCACCTTTAAAAGTTATCTCTGCTTATTAAAGCAAGTTATTGGCTTTCATTAATTATTACTGGTCAGAAGCTACAACACAAAAATGTAAAAATTAATGTAAAACTTATTCTTTGCATCTAGGGAGACTTAACAACCTTATTTCCTCTAATGCATTAGTGGCTTATTGCAACCTTAAAATATATTAACTGGGTTACAATCCAAAGAATCTCTACATGAAGCTACAACACTAACTGCATCAAACAGACAGAGCACAACTAACTTTGAAAACTTGCCAACCATACCTACATCAGGCTTTCAGGTTTGTTCTGGTCAACAGATCTCTCTCTAGGCAAGCAGCAGTACTGGCAACAGCCAGTCTTCTATTAGAAATCATGCTGATTATGATTTTATTTCTCATTTTAACCTATGCCATTTGGTGTAAAATCTACCTGCTATTTGCTAAACCTCTAGACTAAGTACGCGACAAAATGAGACATAAAAGAAAAAAATCAATATAAAGCTAATTGTTAGCAAAACACAAATAAAATGTCCTGAATCTTCTTTCAGATATGTCCAACTATTATACATGTAAAATATTTAATGCTACCTGATAAATTTTATAAAGTGGATTTTATTCTCGAATTTGTTCTATAGTTATGTTTATTAAACTATGCTTAATAAGAATGCATCCTGCTTATGGGTGTATTTTGTTCTTAGAGTGTTGTTAGAAAAGTGAAATTCAGACATAAGTTAATTGAATTTATTCAGCTACCATTTGCGGATAGGTCCTTAATTTTTTCATTAATAGTCCTTAAAAGTACTGAATTTCCACGTGCAGAAATGTGTACAAACCATGTTATCTTGAATTCTCTTGGTCTTCGGGTTAACTGGATAATTTGCATTCGAGGTTCTGTACTGATATCAGTGCTAGCCACCATGCTTTATTTTTGATGAGCTGTGGTCCTTTAATGCTTCTGTTGAACCTGAATCCTCATACTTTTTTTTTTTGTCATGTTTCCTTTAGTTGCTTATTCAATTCATTGCCACTTTGCACTTCTGTTTATGTTGGGCTGATTTCCCATTCCTCGTCTTTAAGCCTGATAATATAGCAAGTGTGTTGCTGCAGAACCTAAGCAAACTCACTGTATTTGCTGTGCTTTGCATAACTTGAAATGCACCAGATTTGCTTAGGTAATACTCTTCAGGGGCTGCACCTAAAACCTCCCTTATTAATGGGATGCCTGTCTGTTTTTGACAGACTACAAGACTTCATCTCTTAGACTGTTTTTCTTATACCATGATTTCAGAACCATCTTTTCCTTTAAGATAAAACTAGCACCGTTTTTTAAATGCATGAACACAAATGGATCTTGATCTTTGGGCAAAATATCTTCATCTTGGCCTGTAGTGTGAAAGATAATGAATATTAAATATACTATATTTATTACTACAACAATACTTACTATAATAGGACACATTTTCCCTTGAGTATTAAAAATGTAAACGCTGTGTGTCCAGTATTAATAACCAATGCAGATGAGGATTTTTGATCAGTAATATTTGTAAAATGCCTACACCTGTTTAAGTACACAATATTCATTTGTGTATAGTAATAATATCATGGTACTCCAGATAGATTATTACTGTAACAGATTATTACCATGCATTTTTTCTGAATTACACATGCGTAATCCCATCAGTGGCTGAATACTAAAAGTTTGTCTCAGGTTTATTTCCCTGCAATTAGCTTGGCTACATGGATTTTTCTCACATATAATGTGCATACTCAATTTAGCAGTAAAAATTTTCACTTTCTCTTTAGAAAAGTCCTCATGACAGTATCTCTCCATTAGACCAATAGCCCTTGCATGTTCTGCTATTCTCAGTTAAATAAGCAAATAGATAAATATATGTATGCGGATGGATTCATAATAGATTGAATGCATACAAGTCTGGTAATTGGTTGATAAAATTTATTTTATAAAAGAAACACTTTAAGAGTTCTGAAACTTTCCACAGAAGTACTCGTACAGGTGTTCACAGTATCACAGAGTACAATCAGTAGTTACACTTCAAACTACTAAGAATGTTAAACACAACACAGTGCAAAGCATATCTGAAGAAGAAGCTAACTGAGATATCTCAGTGTTCCAATTTCATGCTGAACTAACAATTTGCAGCAACAACTAAGAGCGGATGGTGTCTTCAGTCTTATATAGTTTTCATCCAGCTGCCGAGGTATTTCTAGTACTTTTTGCTTCTCAAAATTACTGAAAAGCATGCAAGGGCTGAATTAAGGTTGCAGCTAATGTAGTGGTCAAATCAGGGTTGCCACGCTACCTGGAAAACCTGAAAAACCAAGGAAAGTTAGGGAATTCAAAAATTGATCAAAAATATCAGGGAATTTAAATATTTTAGTCAAAGTCTGTAAAAGTTAGGGAATTTCATATTGCAGTTCCCGAAAAAGTGATTTTCCCGCCAATGTCAGAAGCGATCACTATCTTGGCGAATCATGTATCGTGTGAGCATCATGTGGACAGCTGGCATAGAGCCAGTTTTTGCAGCGGCAATCAGATTGTCCTTTGGCAAAACGAGTTTCCAGTAGCCTCGAGAATCCAGAGATTCACATGCACATGTGCAGTGGAAGTTGAACGAAAGTAAATCCTCCCAATTCTCATATAAAACAAAATCTTTTTCTTTCTTAAATGCCTTATTTGTCATTTTGCAGTAAAATAAAATTTTAAAAAAATCATCTAGGCTAACCATTTAATGTATCTGTATTCACCAAAATACCATTGATTTTTGTAAATCATTTTTAATCCTTAAGTAATTGACTTTATTTTAATGTTATTTGTATCATTTAATGCACCTTCTTCCATCTAAATTCCTAAATTAGTTAATAATACTTCCAAATTTCAGGCAATTTTCTATGGCATACTTGTGAAACTAATTCTAGAAGTAATATGACATACCATCGTAAAATTTAGTTCACGTATTTATTACTTATGTATGCTGCTAAATAAATATAAAATGCTTGAATTTATTTTAAATTATCATTTAACCCTTTGAAATGCGGTGGTCGTGCCCTGAAACCACCAATTTTCAAATTTTTTCTCCTTTTCTGTCCGAAATTGTTGAGTGAAAAATCAATTGATTACTGATCTTTTACCTCTAAATAACACAAAATGACTGCAGAATCATACATTTTTTAAGTCTTAGTACTTAAGATATTACATGCACCTGCCTTTTAAAATTTGTTTTCAGTGAGACAAAATAACTTCCTTTTATTAATATAAACAACTTTAAATTTCATAAGTTATTCATCACACATCATGATTTCTATCGTGAACAATAAAAAATTGCAATAATTAAACTGCATATATATATATATACACCTATCTGTATTTATGGCATTTGCTTTGTGGTTTCAGGGCACGATCACTGTGCACTCTAGAGCGTTGCGTCACAATGCTCACAATCCTGTAGAGGCTCGGTGGTCGCGCCTTGAAACCACTGCTCTTCACAATGGTGTTTGCTTGCTTTTCAAATGGGAATGTTTATTTTTACCTGGATATAGATAGGGGCTTTGAAACCACAGAGTTATTTTACTACTAAAAATACATGCACCTGCCTAGTGAAAAGGTCTTTCTTTTCCAGAGATTTTTTTCTGACTTCAAAACACTTGCTTCCCAAGCTAGTATTGTAAGTTTATAAATTATTTGGTGTGGTTTAAATTTAGTGTAAATATACTTTGCTATAATGAAAAATAGAAATTGTGTAAAAGTTTTATTTAAATTAAGATTTTTCTAAATATTTTGGGACGAAATATGAATAAAATAAATATGAATGGGAAGCGAATGATCCGTACCAAAGCCAAAAAGACCAACCTCTCCCCCATTAACATAAAAAACCATAAATTTCATGTGAAAAGAAACTAAATAATGCTGGATATATGCCGGTGAAATTTAGAAGATCCAGGCAGTGTACATTTTGTAACACAAGGAAGAAACCTCATAATAATGTAAAAAATTTACATACATTACATTGCAACCACCAACCACAGAGCAATGGGCAAGAGTAGATTTTTTTAAAATTCATATATTACTTGTCTCTAGGATCATAATAATTAATTTCTAGTATTTTCAGTTTAAAAAAAATATAAACATAATATAGTGCGCATCAAAGGGTTAAATAGATTTATTTCTGCAGATTTTTAGCTGCAAAATGTGTGCCGAGAGCCGTTTTCAAATTCCGATTTCTAATCTCAATTTCAATAATTTCAAGATTCTAATCTCAATCCTTAGTGAAGAAAACAACTCCTATTATTGTTATAAAAGTAATGCTTTTGGGACTTTATGTATATTTAAATCATGTAATTGGCTATGTTTGTTGTCAGTTTTTGTTTCATAATTAATTTACCCTCGGCACAGCCAATGCACACTACGTAGATAATCTGGAATTTTCTTGAATCACATCTGGAAAACCTGGGAAAGTCAGAGAATTTCATTCTCCTGCTTGAGTTGCAACCCTGTCAATTACAATACCAATTATAGTGATATGGGAATCGGAGAAAATGTCGGCAAATAGTCTTCAAGTTTGGCGACTTTTAGCGATTTCTCGCGAAATTTGTCACCAAACAGTTGTCGTATGTCAACTATAATGTGCAGTATCTCGTCAAATTAGTGAGATAGCCATTTCCTCAATTCCATTTTCCTTATTTTATTGTTTACATTCTAAAGAAGGATAAAATTATGCATAATTTTATGTGTTTAGGGAGAAATTTTATTAATTTCCCCCTAAAATTTCTTAACCTAATATTTTAAAAATTATTTGAATAGTCTAAGTTTTATAGCCAATAATTAGTTTATTCTTATTGTTACTATCTGAAAAGTTTACTTTTTTATGTCTATTTATAATTCATATTTACCAGAATGCTTTTTCTTTTTGGTGCGTGTGTGTGTTATATTTTAAATTTTTCATTATTTTCCCACAACTTAAAATTATACTGTATTGTCAAAAATTGTCATTTTCTTCAGTTTATATGCTCTATGTCCCAAGTATCTGGCCTTTCTGATTTAAAAAAGAGCTAATTTTTTGTTAATTTTAACTTGGGCAGTAGTAATAGGATTTGGGGTAGGAAATATAGTGTGGAATTTATAATTTCTCTACTCATATTTTATTATTAGTCCAAAGAGGCAATTTGTCAGGAAGGATTATTAATTTCATTTTGGCATTTTGCATTGATTCATTTTTCAAATTGTTGCCACCAAATATTAGTGCCGTGTATTATATTTAAAAAAAAATAAATAATGAAGAATCTGCATGAATATATGTATGTTTCTCGCATTGTAATAAAACGATAGCTAGAGCCATCGAATTTTGAATCATGTACATTTCTGCCCGAATATGGGCATCTGGAAGTCCAAATTTGGACTTTGTTTTATTATTTATTTCATGTTTTGTAAAACTTTAACGAATTTTTGATTAACAAAATGATTTCAAAGTGAGCACTGTACAGAAAAAAAAAAACATTTTTATCTCCAGCATGCGAGTCTCTATCGGTAATTTGAAAGATATGCTCCTTTTTAAAATTATTTTGTGATATTGCTGTTGAACTGAATTTTATGGTTAAAATGTGAAGAATATGATATTTAATAAATAAAAGTAACAGACAAAGTGTTAAAAAAATGCCCCCTTTGGAAGGAATGTAAAATCTGAAAGCTTTCAGATTTTTTTTTTTTTTTTTACTTTTTCATCTTGATCACTAGTAATTCAATGTATAAAAGCAATGGACACAAGTAAATGTTTCTAGTTAAATATCTGAATCACATATAATTGTAGAAATCTTTTGGCTTTGTCATAGGGGGATAAAAAAAAATGATGAGTGCTATTAGAATCAAATTAAAGCGGTATCATTTCTCTTTTAAGAAATTTTTATGTGTACTATGACTAATACTTTTTTTTCCTAAACTGTATTGAATTTTTATTTTAAAATGAATTTTTTGTTTTATTGTTTATTTATAATTTTATTTATTTGTTTGTTTATTTTTTTCTTTTGTAGTTCAAAAAATGAATAAGAAAAAGCCTTTTAACCAAATCATGAGTAAAGTAGTTTTTGTCTTGAGTGGATTTGTAAATTCTTTAAGGAGCAAGCTGAGGAATAAAGCTCTGAAAATGGGAGCTAAATATAGAGGAGACTGGAATAGTTCTTGCACACATCTTGTGTAAGATTTTTTTTTTTTTTTTTTTTTAATTAAAGCTCAGAATATGCAAACTTGAACTAGTTTTCATCTTAAAAAATTATACTCATAAAGTTCAAGGGAATAAAAAAATACGTAGGGCATCCCGAAAGTAATTTTCCCTATTTTTTTTTTTTTTTTTTTAAAGAACTCGCACTTTCAAAAACATATTTACTGGCAACAAGTACAGCAATATTTCAGCTATTTTTTCAGCATAGCCACCACCAGAATTGAGACACTTGTTGTATCGTGGGATCAACTTTTGTATCCCTCTGTCATATATGTTAAGTATGTTAAGTCTTCCGCCTGTGAATGGAACCAGCTTGTGACAAACGTTGAAAGCAAGATCAGGGCTGTAGGGTGGATGATCAGACAACTCCCAGCCAAATTCTATCAAAACAGCTGCTGTGCGTCAAGCCGTATGTGGAGGAGCACAACATCTGCAGTAAGCATTCCACGCCTCTTGTTTTGAAAGGCAGGTCGCAATTTCCGCTATGCTTTATAGTAATGGTCAGCATTTACTCTTTCACCATGTGGAAGGAACTCAATGAATAGAATGTCCTTCCTGTCCCAGAACAGCATGCACATCACTGTCCGTACCGACAGCGTCTGTTTCAATTTCGTCCTGATCGAAGATCAACTATGCCGCCAGCGCATTGACTGCTGCTTGGTTTCTAGGGTGAAGTGCAAAATCCAAGTCTCATTGCCCGTGATAATCCTGTCGAGAAATTCACCGCCGTTATCACGATACCATTGCAGAAATGTCAGTGCTGCTCCTAAGCATTCAATTTTGTGTTCGGGTGTCAGGTTTTTCGGCACCCACCTGGTACACACTGTTTTGAACAGCAGATGCTTAGTGACAATCACATGCAACAAGAATCATGATATCTGCGGAAAATGGCTGCTCAGCTCTGTAATCGTGAAGCGACACGGCTCTCCATCACATGCTGCCGCACGAGCTCAACAAAATCATCATTGATGAGGGACAGTCGCCCACTGCATTCTTCATCATGGACACTTTGACAACCTTCCGAAAACTGCCTACACCAGCGACGCACCATGTACTTACTCATAATGTTTGTCCCATACACCTGTCAGAGCTGGCAAATTTCAATTGGCGCAATGCTTTGTGCATTCAAGAACTTTATCACCAACCGAACCTCGCAGGCGGCGGGAGAAGGAATAAGAGCTTCCATTTCGGACCACTGCTATCACGCTACTGGCATGAGGCAGGACCTGTCCGACTAGCATATGATTGATACGTCATAGATCTGTTATGCATGCGCAATTGATATGGCTAATTACGTTTACTTTAAAGGGGAAAACATCGGGAAACTTACTTTCTGGATGTGCCTCGTATTATAGTAATTATTTCCTAACATTGTAAAATTTTCTGTTCTCAGAACCCTAACAAAAAATGTTTTTCTTCCACTTATTATGAATTTCATCCTCACATATGTTAAGTATATCAGCCAAATGCATTAGGCAAGGGGTAGTCAACCTTTTTATACCTACCATCCACATTTGTATCTCTGTTAGCAGTAAAATTTCCTAACTGCCCACTGGTTCCACAGTAATGGTGATTTGCAAAGTAGAGAAGTAACTTTATTTTATAGAATTGATAAAGCAGAGTTATAGCAAACATGTGCTAATAATTACTTACCAAGTACTTTATGTTAGATTTTCACTAAGTTTGGCAGAATAAATCTTTATAAAAAGCAACTTACGAAAATCTATTTTTTTATTTATACTTTACATGCATAGAAATTATATTAGCTGAGTTATTAGTGGGATCCCTGGGTCTCATGCTGAGAAACTAAATATTGAATATTGTTCAATTTTCACGAAGAACAAATAATTGGAAATATTCAGGTGGTTTCTTTCTTGTGTTATAATAGGATTAACAGAAATAAATCTTGATTTCACAAGATATGATGTGGAAAGGGATCAATAAACTGAATACCATTTTCCAGATATTGTGATAGAAGACCGGCATTTTTTCATTTTGCCATAGGTTTTCATATCTACCCCCTTTTTTTCATATCTATGTAATTTCTAACAATTCTTCTTAGCAAATTGTATTAGCCTCTTCAGTATTTGAGATAAAAGGATTTTCACCCAATCATACACCTTCAGCATCAAAATATCTTCAAATCATTTTTTATGTGTCAGATTTAAGTTTGTTGAGGTGGCTACTGAATCTGTCAATATACTCTGGAGTTACATCATCTTTTGTAGATGAAAATTGAGGAAACTGATGAAATTCTGTCTTCAATAGATTATGACGAAGTAGTTCAAGTTTATCAATAAATAATAGCACAATACTTTGGCAACATATAAGTGTTTTATTAGCTTTTTGAAGTGACAAATTGACATTGTTAAACCTTCTGAAAATACCTGCCAAGAAAAATGCATCATTCTTTACTCTCTTTAACTGTTGATGCAGATTGATCTTATTATTAGTTTTAAAAAAATTGTATGATACTATCATAAAATGCTCCAAATCTAGCCAAAGATGTACCCTGTGACAGCCACGAACTTAATAAAAAGGCAAAAGTAACTTAATAAAATCTTCATTATTGTCCTAGAAAAGTTGCCAAAACATTCTATCATTCTTTTTGTTGGATTTGATCTTGTGTACAGCTCGAATTATTATAGTTAATGATGAATGGGAATTCGTACTTGGATGTTTTCCTGCAAGAAGTTGTCTTTGCACCACACAATGAATATGTAAAACATTTGGCATTGCATACATAAACATTTGTCATGCTTCAAATAAACAACAAATCCACAATTGTGACCTATCATTGATGGTACTAGCACCATCAGTAGCACATGCAGCATTAATATTTTATGTAAAGTATGTTCTCACAGTATTAAATATAGGTAATCCTGTTGTATCTGTGATTGATGAGATTTATTATGAATAGCATTTCTTCTCATAATATATTGTTTTCATCAAAACAGTGTACATATGCCATCAACAAAGGCGTCATTATCTGCTATGGTAGATTTTTCCAGTTGCATGGAAAATGGAGAATTCTGGAGAATATTTATAAGTTTGTTTTCAACACTTAGCTGCCATTTCATCAATTTGTCACTTTACTATACTAGGCAATGTTTTTAAAGTTTGAGTTATACTGATGCATTACTGCTGAGATAAATTCTTTTATAGAGGGTACTATTTCAGTTTCTCCAATATTATAGCTTTTACCACTTTTTGCAAATAATTGTGAAATATCATAAGGGGCAATTAATCCATCTTTGTTCGTTGTATGCTGTTTCTTAAATGATGCAATGATAGCTGAAAGATTTTGAAATTTTTTATATATTTCCTGAAAATATTCACTGAGCTTGTTCTTGTCATCTGGATGTTTTGTAGAAAGATGTTCTCACAATCGACTTAGCTTCATTAGATAATGTTTAATGGCATACGAAGCACATTGGATGTTTATTTGCAACAGATTCTATGAAATGAATCTTCAGATACTCTGGCGAATAGCCATGTGTGTATTTCCTTTTTTAAGACATGCGCTCACGATATTTCATAATATTTTGCTTGAAGCTGTAAGCACGTGCTTTCTGTCGGAAATGTAACTACATACTGACTTTTGTTTCTATTATGTAATGATTTAGCTTCACTTACATCACATGAACAAAACTTATGTGCTTGAAGTCTGTTGCATGGTTGCGATTTTTGGAAGGCTGTGTGCTTTTCTGATTCGATGTGCGAGACCTTCTTCTTGTCTTCTGGCGTTCGTCAGGTGGGTGAGGGCCAGATGGTTGCAAAAGAGGTTGGGTGGAGTCCCAATATAAATGCCCTGTAACAGAGTGACGGCTGACTGATCTTGACTGGTCGAAAGTTAGTCAATTATTATGTAATCCCTGTACTGTTTGGTTGTCCCCACTACTGCCCACTATGAAAGCTGGAACGCCCAGTGGACAGTAGGAATCGGGTTGACTACTACTGCATCAGGCGGCAGTCTCAAAGTGAGTAGAGGATTGATTGTTTTTAACTCCTGACTTGCTCAGTATGAGAATCCAGTGACATGTTATTTAAGTTGAAATGAGATTTAAAGGATTAAAGGGCAATATTTAAATGCTTATTATCTGATTTGTACATGATTTTTTTCACATAATTGGTTGTATGGTATAATTCATATCATTAACTTATATTATGATAGTATATACTTGATATGAAAATAATTCTATTGTTTTAGTATATCGGTGAAAAATCCTGAAATCTGAATTTTTGATAATGATTCAGTGAAAAACACTGAATCATTATCAAAAACATTGAAAATTGTTAGCTGCATTTTTTAACGTTATCTAGTCCTTGTTTTTAGTTTTTGTTACATACTTCTAATTTCTTTTAAGTGTTGATATTTGTTAATGAGTTGCATAAAACTTACAGCATGAAAATTTTAAAAAATTTTGTTGAATCATATTTTTTTTTAAACATTTTTTAAACATTTTCGACGCTTCGACATTGCAACGGTAAAAACAGAAAGAATTCACATCTAACAAGATCTAATTTTTCTAAAAACTGAACTGTAAACGGAAATACTCAATGCTTTAGCACATATAAAACTTCTACTTACAATAAACCACGTGCGAAATAAGTGCGATTTAAAGAGACATCATAAATCACGCCATTCGGAAACATTTAGTTCCCCGTTTGTTTATATAATCAAAAACACGTGTATGTGAGTCATGCTTCTCTCATTTTGAGTAGAAGCTCTAATGTACATGTATCTGAAACCATATGGACATACAGTGCCATCTTGTGGCAGAATTATAGTTTGAAAAACGTTCCAAGGTACTGGCACAAATACGTGACAGTTGGTAGAAAACGCAACAATGCTCTGGCACGCCTGCGTGTCGGCCGGTAGATAAGTGTGTTCGTTGTTGGCACATATACGTGACAGTCGGCACGAAGGGGTTAAAGTAATCTAAACAATGAAATATTAAAAAAGTGTATTATTATTTGAACTATATTTAGAACTGTATACAGAAGTTTTTATCCATTTGTTGTTAAAGAATTTTATCTTTAAAACTTTACTTTAATTCCAAATGATAGATATCAAAGAAATATTGTTAAAATGTTTGTGGTTTGCTAAATATAGGATATTATATACCTATTTTGTTCATGACATTTTGGCATGGAGAGTTGTCTTGTAATGTATGTTGTCTTGAGCATTTCAGTTAAATAATAATATATAATAATAAGTTTACATACTAAATTTAAGATGGAAGAAATTTTTTATGCATTGTCATTTCACAATAGCATCTTTTAATGTTAATGAAAAAACAATAAACACCTTAAAGATACTTTTGTGTTTAATTAAAAAAACATTTATAGTAATCTAATAATTATACCTAGTTATTAAGATCTAGGGAATAAATTTGAAATAAAGGCTTTTTTTAACAAGAAAAAGCTTTTCCTCATATATATATGAGAATTGCCTCTTAGTATGTCCTTATTTAAGCAGATACTGTAAGATTGATTTTAAATTATTATGTGCAATTTGTAGACTCAATTAATATTAAAATAAGATAAATTTAAGAATTTGACTTTTTGCATTCAGTAGTTTATCGAGTCGGAGTGGAAATTGGCAATTCTTGACAGTAAAAGCATTAAGAAATATATTTTGCAATGAATAATATACTTCAATAGGATATTGTTGAATTTACCATTAATTCACGTAAACTTTGTGCTGGGAACAGAAATTAAACTAAATTATTGTCATTTTGTTAATTAATCACTGTAAAGAAGGATACATAGTCCAGAGCCACATATATGCTGAAGGATATTAGTACTACTACATTACTATTTTGTAATAATCCTTTCAAACTGGGATATTTTATGCCAAACAATAGCTATGTCATCAATGCTTTAGTTCATCTGTCATTTGTTGGAGACTTGTAGATTATATTACTAAACTGTGGTAAATTTAATTCTCACAAACAGGCCATGGGCTTTGGGTGTACCATGCATTTTTTATGATTTTCTCTGCAATACAGTACTAACTTAAGTTCCATAGAAAGTCTTTTGTATACTTTTATGTAATTAAGCAGTACAGTCTAATTGAATCCATAGTGGAAACAACAGGCTATATTTAAACATGTATTATTACTTTTCTAGATGTGCATTTGTAAATACTCCTAAATATGTCCAAGTCCAGAGGGCAGGTGGGAAAATTGTAAGCAAGAAGTGGATATTAGATTGCTATAAGAAAAAAGCTCTCTTACCTTGGGAAAAGTAAGTATAGCAGAAAATCAATTAAAAGGTTAACATTTTTGTAAAGTGCCTTTTGAATTACTTAAAACTACCTTATGGGTGGTAAGGAATTCTTTCTTTTCCTTTGACTTTTGGTTTTAGAACAAATTTTCATGTGCTAATGTTGAGTAGGCTCTCCAAAAGCATTATTTACATGAATCATCCTATATTTATTGTAATCGAGCAATGTATTTATCACCTTTCAGCTGAAACTTTCATTTAAACTTAATTAATGCATTTAAGATATTACAGCATAGTCCAGATATTAAAGCCAACTTACCATACATGATTTACCAACCACAATAATTACATATTTTTTCCATCCAATCATTCTTTCCTCAATCTTTGTGTTATGCTTCAATGATTCATACTCTCGCATATTTCCTCGTGTAATATTTATTTTAAATACTATTAAAATGTTTTACATTTAAAATTATTTAACATATTATATGCAAAGTATTGTTTGTTACTTTATATTTAATGTCTTACAGATATTTAAAAACCACTGCTGAAAGTGGTTTTTTTTTTTTCTCTTTCGACTGCCCAGATTTTCCAGAATATCAGCATGCTGGATAGAAATGATGTGCTGTAACTTTAGAGGCAATCGCTTTTAAATGCTTTTGCTTCATTGCATAACTGCATAAAATTAATCCATTAAATATGTGTGTCTTCATCTATTACAGTGCAGAATAAATTAATTATATATTTTTAGTTTTTAATGTAATGAATGCAAGAGAAAAAGTAACTTAAATAATTGTAATCATTTTCCTGTCATTTTATTTTATATTAAATTCAATGAAGTGTATTTTGAGTGATAGCAAAAGTACTTCTTGCAGTTAGAAATTTTTAATAAGTAAGTTTTTATTTTTTAAATTTCATTTGTTTGTTTATTTATTTATTTTTGTTAGCTGATATACATATTAAACTGTGTATTATTCATTTCATTTTATAGGTATGAGCTTGGAGAAGACAAGGAAGAAAGCTCTGATGTTACATCAGAAAGTGAAGAAGAATCAGTGGCTGTTCCTTGGAAGACAATTAAACCTGAGACTTCAAAATATAATGGTAATTATGATCTTAGTTGTAGTTTTACTTACCAATTACAGAATTATGAAAGGTTCACCCCCATCCCTCTGTGTGTAAAATGAGAGTTTTGACAATATCCATATCCAACACTAATTTCTTTACCACAGTCAGTCAAATTTTTATTGTGACTTTCTTGGAGTCATCTGTATCAGTACTTAATGTGATATTTTGTACCCCAAGTAAGAAAATTCTTTGGCCACAAATTTACATTTGGATACATTTAAAGCCCAATTCTTTTAGTAGTGTAAAAACTTCTTACTGATCTTCAGGGTAGTCATCAATTATATTAATAATAGCTATTATGCCATTTAGGTGCCTGGATCTTGATCTGCCTAGTGCAGGCCTTAAAATTAATTCCTTGACTCACTGGAATGTAGTAAGAACTCTGCATAATGCAAATCTCAAACTCAGGAATGTATGCATTTTGTTAATGCAGGAACTTGGGGACAATTTAATGCACAATAACTGTAAAGCTTGCATATCAGACAAGGACAAACAAATATCATACTGACCTTTTCAGTGCATCTCTAAAAATATGTAATGCTAAATTTTCCCTACCTGAATTCATATTGCATTTGCTAGCTTCATGTAAATTTATATTGCAGACAAATAGCTGATTCTGCATTTTTTAAAATATATCAGGCATGACAAGTTAAAGATCCTATGCAAGTTCTGTGTTTTCAACTGGAAAATCATTCAAGTTGCATACATATTTATAGTTACTTATTTATCATGCCAGAGTATTATGTAGAGGAAAAATTTTGCAGTTACTTACGATTATCTTCACCTTTATCAAAAAGTAAGAAACTAATTTTCATCTATTTTGGAGAGTATTTGCAAACAGGCTTTCTACTAATTTTTTGCAAAGCTACTGCACAAAAGTTGAAACTGATTTTCAAAATGATGTCACATTAAGAATTCTACATGGTGAATCTGAACAAGGGGGCAAAACTTTACAGGGTGATAAAACGCAGCTATACAAGCAATATTCATTGAAAAAATCTGGGCGGAACGCAAACAGTGAATTCTACAGGGTGAATGTGAACAAGGGGGCAAAACTTTACATGGTGATAGAACACAGCTATACAAGCAATATTCATCATATAAAGCTGGGTGGAACACAAACAGTGAACTGCTATGTGGCATTGTAAATGGTATAAAAAGGGTCAGTCTTCGCACCCAGTGCCATTTCCTACCGTAGATTGCTGAGACGGTGGCTGGTTATGCAAACCATGAAATTTCCAGGACGTCATTTCACCAGGTTTCTCATGTTTAGACTTTATCCTGTGGGGCCATATGAAAAGCCTAATCTATGAATACCCCATTGAAACAAACATGGATCTAGTTGTCAGGTTCTCTGTTGTTGCCAGCCATACTCGGGAAATGCTTGGTGTCTTCGCAAATGTACTTCAGTTCCCATTGCACAAGTGTCTGCATTACAGCCTGCAGAAGATCTTTTGAGCAATTCCTTTGCACACGTGCACCAATTATATTCCTGTTCATGAAATATTTTCTAAAATATCTCCTCTCATTCTTGTGTTAATTCATTAAATGTTTCAGTGACAAACTACCTTTTAATTTCTCACTGTTTGTGTTACGACTATACATTGTACAATGAATATTGCTCATATAGCTGTGTTCAGTCACACTGTAAAGTTTTGCACCCTTGTTCAGATTCACCTCGTATATAAAAGTATTAGCTCAATAAAATTAAAAACCATGAAACATTGGTAATAAAACACTTGCCTTTTTTTAGACATACTTTACTTTGGTGTGGTTTACCACATATAGAGTGCAATTTCTTTTTGCTTAAAAAATATATCAGACAGTTGCACAAACTTGAAGTCCTTGAAATTATTCGTTGGTGTCCATCCTTCTGTGACATACTGCTTTCCCTCAGGAATAATTTTTGGTGAATTTTCAAACAAAACAGAAAACACCTAATTTTTCTATTAGTAATTGGTATCAAATGATCTAATTTTATCTAATAATAAAAAATAATACTTTTTTTAGTTACTGTAAGGGGAAAAAAAATCCTCAAATCGTAATGAATAACTGCTCAAAATTTGTGAATTTTGAATGTATGCATTGTCGTGTTTCCTTCAGTCTGCAAGGTTTCACAAAAGAAAAATTAACAAACAGAATGCAGATAACAATAAATAATAACTTGAGCTTTTTTTTAAATTTAGGTTCAAAAAATGATCTGGCAAATACTCTAAATGCTTCTCTTCTGATAAAACAAGAAATTGAAACTGAAGATGAGGATGCTGTTCAAGACTGTGTGGCTGAGACAAATGTACAAACAAATTCTGATGCAATAAAGAAGAGGAAGTTCGTAGGTAAGGATTTGATTGTGACTTGCTTATTCTTTCTGAAATAAAAATAATAGGGAAATTATGGAAAATATGCACTTAAGCTAGGGGTAATCTGTGATTTCAGTTAAATTTCTTTAGTTTATATTTTAAAATCTGTTTTGTGTTATTTGAAAATGTTCTTTAAATATCAATGTTTTTATTTTATGGGACTTTTCTACATTTATGGTTAAAATTTCTTCGGAAATGGAATCATTTTTGCTAATATACAAATCTAGTTAAAGACTATAATGCCACCCTTGGAAATGCCTGCCTAAAGTAAGCAAAACATGTAGAAATTTGTACCCTACTGAATCTTAGCACTTTTGAGGGTTTGTTATTATATTTGTTCCTTGAAATCAATCAGTTATTATTACAGACAGCTACAGAAGCTTAATGCCTTTTTACATAGCATTACTTTAGGAGTTGGATTCCAAGAATTTTAATCTTCTGTTGATGCGAAGCATTATCTCAAACCTAGCAATCTAATAATTTCAAAGAGTCAGTACGAATGAGATACTTATTATTCTTCTTTTAAATCCTGAATAAACTGAAACATTGCTCCCTCTGTGTAAAGTATTTTTCTTCGTAGTCCTTTTAGAAACTTACTTCATTGTTTTCTTTCATCTTTTCTAATTGTTGGATTTATCATAGCTTGAATTGCATGTATGAAATATTGGACCCCAAGATGCTTAGTACATCCTATCACCAGTTGTAAAATTCATTCAGACCTTTCACTAAAAGACAATCCCATTTCGATTTCCAGCTATTCTGATTTTGGGTTTAAAATAAGGAATTTATTACCTAAGAATAAAAAATAATAAATTTCCAAGATACTGTAAAGGAAAAGAAAATGCTTGAATTGGGAAGAATAACTGGTCAAAATTTGTAAAGTTTGAAAGTATGCTTAGTTTTTCTTTCCCATCCCTATACCAGGCATTACGAAAGAAAACTTAACAAAGAAAATGCAGATGAAAATAAATCTAATAACTTCAGCTTTTTTAATTTAGGTTCAAAAAATGATCCGGCAAATACTCTAAATGCTTCTCTTCTGATAAAACAAGAAATTGAAACTGAAGATGAGGATGCTGTTCGAGACTGTGTAGCTGAGACAAATGTACAAACAAATTCTGATGCAATAAAGAAGAGGAAGTTCATAGGTAAGGATTTGATTGTGTCTTGATTATTCTTTCAGGAATAAAATAATATAGAAATTATGTCAAATATGCACTTAAGTTAGAGATAATAACCTATGATTGCAGTTAAATTTCTCTAGTTTGTATTTTCAAATCTATGTTTTGTGTTATTTGAAAATGTTTATTAAATATCACTGTTTCTATTTTATGGAACTTCACTACATGTATGCTTAGGATTCCTTTGGGAATGGAATTATTTTTGCTTGTAAACAAAAATTTAGCTTTAGTTAGAGTGCGATGGTAACCTTGGCAATGTCTGTGTAATCAAAATATACAGAAATTTGTACCCTACTGAATCTTAGCACTTTGGGCTTGTTATTAAGTTTCTCTTTTTGCCTGGAAATCGATCGATTATTATTACAGGCACATGAAGAAGCTTAATGTCTTTTTATGTAGCCTTACTTTAGGAGCTCGATTCTTGGATGTTAATCATCTGTTGATGCAAAGGATTATTACAGACCTTACAGTCTAATAATTCCAAGGAGTCAGTACAAATGAGATACTTCATTTATTAAGAGAAATAATTGTCACAGTATCATTATTATTTTAAATCCTGAATTAAGCAAAAGTTTATTTCTTCTGTATAAAGTTGGATTTTTCTTTGTATCCTTTCCAGAAACATACTTCAGTGCTTTCTTTCCTCTATTCTAATTATTGGATTTATCATAGCTTAGTATGCACATATGAGATATCTACATCCTTCCATCAGGCTGGCTGGCATTTCTTCAGCTTGCAGCCTCACAATGACTAAATCTACTTTAGATTTAGCCTTGCGACTACTAAATTTAAAGTTGTTGAATCCCCAGGTGTACTTAATTATGCATATTAAACACTATTGATTCGAACCTGCCTACCTTATATGTAAACTCTAGCTCTGTGAAGAACGTCAGTTGACTTATTGTCCAGACTTAATCTTACAGTGATTACCAAACGGAGAAGTTTTAAAATGAACCCTTTTATTAATTCTTCAGACATCCAATTTCTTTAACGTGTCTATTAAAAGAACAGATTTCACATGTTGCAGAATTAGCCGATATTCCCCAACATTGTAGTTTTTTTTTGACATGTGTTGTACACATTTTGTAGTTATTTTACATTATCTTCACCATAACGAAAAAGTCAAAACTAATTTCCTACTATATTGGAATGCATTTGTGAACCTGCGGTCTTCTAATTCTTTGCCAAGCTATTGCACAAATAATGACTGTGATTTTTGGCACATTAGGAATTCTATACATAGGCATTAAATTAATAAAATTGAAAACCAAGAAACATGGGTAAAGCATTTGCCTTTTTTTAGAATTTTTTTCCCTGTGGTGTCGTTTTTCCCAAACAGACCACAATTTATTTTGCTTAAAAAGAATCAGAGAATTGCACAAACTTTACATCCTTGGAATGGTTACTTTTGGTGTTCATGTTTTGTTGACGTACTGCTTTACTCAGGATTAGTTTTTGGTGATTTTTCATTGAGGATGCAGATGATCAAAATGTAGCAATTTTTGTATTTGTGAATAGCATCAAATCCTTCAAAAAAAACATTCTTCCTCAATAGGTATTATTAAGGTATAATTAAAGAGACATTCGTAAAATGTAAAATTTTATATCATTTCTAATTTTGGGTTTAAAATGAGTAATTTATTACCTAAGAATAAAAAATAATAAATTTTCAAAATACTGTAAAGGAAAAGAAAATGCTTGAATAGTAAGGAATAACAGGTTAAAATTTGTAAAGTTTAAAGGTATGCTTAGTCCCCCCCCCCCCGTTCCCTCCACCAGGCATTACGAAAGAAAACTTAACAAAGAAAATGTAGATGAAAATAAACCTAATAACTTCAGCTTTTTTAATTTAGGTTCAAAAAATGATCTTTCAAATACTCTAAATGCTTCTCTTCTGATAAAACAAGAAATTGAAACTGAAGATAAGGATGCTGTTCAAGACTGTGTGGCTGAGACAAATGTACAAACAAATTCTGATGCAATAAAGAAGAGGAAGTTCATAGGTAAGGATTTGATTGTGTCTTGATTATTCTTTCTGAAATAAAATAATAGGGAAATTATGCAAATATATGCACTTAAGCTAGGGGTAATAAATAATATGTGATTCCAGTTAAATTTCTCCAGTTTATATTTAAAAATCAGTTTTATATTTTTTGAAAATGTTCTTTAAATATCAGTGCTTTGGGATTGGAATCATTTTTGCTAATATACAACACTAGTTAAAGATTATAATGCCACCCTTGGAAATGCCTGCCTAAAGTAAGCAAAACATGTAGAAATTAGTACCTTACTGAATCTTAGCACTTTTGAGTGCTTGTTATTAAGTTTATGTTTGTTCTTTGAAATCAATCAGTTATTATTACAGACAGCTACAGAAGTTTAATGCCTTTCTACGTAGCATTACTTTAGGAGTTGGATCCCAAGGATGTTAATCTTCTGTTGATGCAAAGCATTATCTCAGACCTAGCAAATCTAATAATTTCAAAGAGTCAGTACAAATGAGATACTTATTATTCTTATTTTAAATCCTGAATAAACTGAAACATTGCTCCCTCTGTGTAAAGTATTTTTCTTCGTAGTCCTTTTAGAAACTTACTTCATTGTTTTCTTTCATCTTTTCTAATTGTTGGATTTATCATAGCTTGAATTGCATGTATGAAATATTGGACCCCAAGATGCTTAGTACATCCTATCACCAGTTGTAAAATTCATTCAGACCTTTCACTAAAAGACAATCCCATTTCGATTTCCAGCTATTCTAATTTTGGGTTTAAAATAAGGAATTTATTACCTAAGAATAAAAAATAATAAATTTCCAAGATACTGTAAAGGAAAAGAAAATGCTTGAATTGGGAAGAATAACTGGTCAAAATTTGTAAAGTTTGAAAGTATGCTTAGTTTTTTTTTCCCATCCCTCCACCAGGCATTACGAAAGAAAACTTAACAAAGAAAATGCAGATGAAAATAAATCTAATAACTTCAGCTTTTTTAATTTAGGTTCAAAAAATGATCCGGCAAATACTCTAAATGCTTCTCTTCTGATAAAACAAGAAATTGAAACTGAAGATGAGGATGCTGTTCGAGACTGTGTAGCTGAGACAAATGTACAAACAAATTCTGATGCAATAAAGAAGAGGAAGTTCATAGGTAAGGATTTGATTGTGTCTTGCTTATTCTTTCTGAAATAAAATAATAGGGAAATTATGGAAAATATGCACTTAAGCTAGGGGTAATCTGTGATTTCAGTTAAATTTCTTTAGTTTATATTTTAAAATCTGTTTTGTGTTATTTGAAAATGTTCTTTAAATGTCAATGTTTTTATTTTATGGGACTTTTCTACATTTATGGTTAGAATTTCTTCGGAAATGGAAACATTTTTGCTAATATACAAAACTAGTTAAAGACTATAATGCCACCCTTGGAAATGCCTGCCTAAAGTAAGCAAAACATGTAGAAATTTGTACCCTACTGAATCTTAGCACTTTTGAGGGTTTGTTATTATATTTGTTCCTTGAAATCAATCAGTTATTATTACAGACAGCTACAGAAGCTTAATGCCTTTTTACATAGCATTACTTTAGGAGTTGGATTCCAAGAATTTTAATCTTCTGTTGATGCGAAACATTATCTCAAACCTAGCAATCTAATAATTTCAAAGAGTCAGTACAAATGAGATACTTATTATTCTTATTTTAAATCCTGAATAAACTGAAACATTGCTCCCTCTGTGTAAAGTATTTTCTTCGTAGTCCTTTTAGAAACTTACTTCATTGTTTTCTTTTATTTTTTCTAATTGTTGGATTTATCATAGCTTGAATTGCATGTATGAAATATTGGACCCCAAGATGCTTAGTACATCCTATCACCAGTTGTAAAACTCATTCAGACCTTTCACTAAAAGACAATCCCGTTTCGATTTCCAGCTATTCTGATTTTGGGTTTAAAATAAGGAATTTATTACCTAAGAATAAAAAATAATAAATTTCCAAGATACTGTAAAGGAAAAGAAAATGCTTGAATTGGGAAGAATAACTGGTCAAAATTTGTAAAGTTTGAAAGTATGCTTAGTTTTTCTTTCCCATCCCTCCACCAGGCATTACGAAAGAAAACTTAACAAAGAAAATGCAGATGAAAATAAATCTAATAACTTCAGCTTTTTTAATTTAGGTTCAAAAAATGATCCGGCAAATACTCTAAATGCTTCTCTTCTGATAAAACAAGAAATTGAAACTGAAGATGAGGATGCTGTTCGAGACTGTGTAGCTGAGACAAATGTACAAACAAATTCTGATGCAATAAAGAAGAGGAAGTTCATAGGTAAGAATTTGATTGTGTCTTGATTATTCTTTCAGAAATAAAATAATATGGAAATTATGTCAAATATGCACTTAAGTTAGAGATAGTAACCTATGATTGCAGTTAAATTTCTCTAGTTTGTATTTTCAAATCTATGTTTTGTGTTATTTGAAAATGTTTATTAAATATCACTGTTTCTATTTTATGGAACTTCACTACATGTATGCTTAGGATTCCTTTGGGAATGGAATTATTTTTGCTTGTAAACAAAAATTTAGCTTTAGTTAGAGTGCGATGGTAACCTTGGCAATGTCTGTGTAATCAAAATATACAGAAATTTGTACCCTACTGAATCTTAGCACTTTGGGCTTGTTATTAAGTTTCTCTTTTTGCCTGGAAATCGATCGATTATTATTACAGGCACATGAAGAAGCTTAATGTCTTTTTATGTAGCATTACTTTAGGAGCTCGATTCTTGGATGTTAATCATCTGTTGATGCAAAGGATTATTACAGACCTTACAGTCTAATAATTTCAAGGAGTCAGTACAAATGAGATACTTCATTTATTAAGAGAAATAATTGTCACAGTATCATTATTATTTTAAATCCTGAATTAAGCAAAAGTTTATTTCTTCTGTATAAAGTTGGATTTTTCTTTGTATCCTTTCCAGAAACATACTTCAGTGCTTTCTTTCCTCTATTCTAATTATTGGATTTATCATAGCTTAGTATGCACATATGAGATATATCTACATCCTTCCATCAGGCTGGCTGGCATTTCTTCAGCTTGCAGCCTCACAATGACTAAATCTACTTTAGATTTAGCCTTGCGACTACTAAATTTAAAGTTGTTGAATCCCCAGGTGTACTTAATTATGCATATTAAACACTATTGATTCGAACCTGCCTACCTTATATGTAAACTCTAGCTCTGTGAAGAACGTCAGTTGACTTATTGTCCAGACTTAATCTTACAGTGATTACCAAACGGAGAAGTTTTAAAATGAACCCTTTTATTAATTCTTCAGACATCCAATTTCTTTAACGTGTCTATTAAAAGAACAGATTTCACATGTTGCAGAATTAGCCGATATTCCCCAACGTTGTAGTTTTTTTTTGACATGTGTTGTACACATTTTGTAGTTATTTTACATTATCTTCACCATAACGAAAAAGTCAAAACTAATTTCCTACTATATTGGAATGCATTTGTGAACCTGCGGTCTTCTAATTCTTTGCCAAGCTATTGCACAAATAATGACTGTGATTTTTGGCACATTAGGAATTCTATACATAGGCATTAAATTAATAAAATTGAAAACCAAGAAACATGGGTAAAGCATTTGCCTTTATTTAGAATTTTTTTCCCTGTGGTGTCGTTTTTCCCAAACAGACCACAATTTATTTTGCTTAAAAAGAATCAGAGAATTGCACAAACTTTACATCTTTGGAATGGTTACTTTTGGTGTTCATGTTTTGTTGACGTACTGCTTTACTCAGGATTAGTTTTTGGTGATTTTTCATTGAGGATGCAGATGATCAAAATGTAGCAATTTTTGTATTTGTGAATAGCATCAAATCCTTCAAAAAAACATTCTTCCTCAATAGGTATTATTAAGGTATAATTAAAGAGACATTCGTAAAATGTAAAATTTTATATCATTTCTAATTTTGGGTTTAAAATGAGTAATTTATTACCTAAGAATAAAAAATAATAAATTTTCAAAATACTGTAAAGGAAAAGAAAATGCTTGAATAGTAAGGAATAACAGGTTAAAATTTGTAAAGTTTAAAGGTATGCTTAGTCCCCCCCCCCCGTTCCCTCCACCAGGCATTACGAAAGAAAACTTAACAAAGAATATGTAGATGAAAATAAACCTAATAACTTCAGCTTTTTTAATTTAGGTTCAAAAAATGATCTTTCAAATACTCTAAATGCTTCTCTTCTGATAAAACAAGAAATTGAAACTGAAGATAAGGATGCTGTTCAAGACTGTGTGGCTGAGACAAATGTACAAACAAATTCTGATGCAATAAAGAAGAGGAAGTCATAGGTAAGGATTTGATTGTGTCTTGATTATTCTTTCTGAAATAAAATAATAGGGAAATTATGCAAAAATATGCACTTAAGCTAGGGGTAATAAATAATATGTGATTCCAGTTAAATTTCTCCAGTTTATATTTAAAAATCAGTTTTATATTTTTTGAAAATGTTCTTTAAATATCAGTGCTTTGGGATTGGAATCATTTTTGCTAATATACAACACTAGTTAAAGATTATAATGCCACCCTTGGAAATGCCTGCCTAAAGTAAGCAAAACATGTAGAAATTAGTACCTTACTGAATCTTAGCACTTTTGAGTGCTTGTTATTAAGTTTATGTTTGTTCTTTGAAATCAATCAGTTATTATTACAGACAGCTACAGAAGTTTAATGCCTTTCTACGTAGCATTACTTTAGGAGTTGGATCCCAAGGATGTTAATCTTCTGTTGATGCAAAGCATTATCTCAGACCTAGCAAATCTAATAATTCCAAAGAGTCAGTACAAATGAGATACTTATTATTCTTATTTTAAATCCTGAATTAAGTGAAAGTTTGTTTCCTCTGTATAAAGTAGCATTTTTCTCTGTAGCCTTTCTAGAAACTTAATTCAGTGCTTTCTTTCATCTGTTCTAATTGTGGGATTTATCATAGCTTGAACCGCATGTATAAGATAGCTGCGTCCTTTCATCAGGCTTGCTGGCATGTCTCTTCAGCTTGCAGCCTTGCAATGGTTAAATGTACTTTAAATTTACTCTTGCAGTTACTAAATTTAAAGTAGTTGAATTCCCAGGTGTACTTAATTATGTATATTGAACACCAGTGATTCAAACCTAACTACCTCATTTGTAATCTCTAGCTCTGTGAAGAAAGTCAGGTTAGTTATTGTCCAATCTTAAGTATACAGTGAAAACCAAACACAGAAGAAGATTTAAAATTAACCCTTTTATTACTTCTTCAGACATGCAGTTTCTTTAATGTGTCTATTAAAAGAACAGCTTTCACATGTTGCACGATTAGCAGAAAGTGATTTAAAGTACAATTTAAGCATTTCAGGTTTGAGATTTACAAGATAAAGCCTGCGAACTTATTTTGAGCAAACATTGCTAGCAGAGCTAAATCAGATAAAATGTTATTTAAATATCACTGTTTTATGGGACTTTACTACATGTATGGTTAGGATTGCTTTGGGAATTTAATTATTTTTGCTTGTAAACAAAAATTTAGCTTTTTGTTAAAGATTTTGATGCTAGTCTTGGCAGTGTCTAAGTAAAATAAGCAAAATGTGCAGATTTTTGTACCCTGTTGACTCTTACCACTTTTTTTGGCTTGTTATTAAGTGTCTGTTTTTGCCTGGATATCAGTCAGTTATTATTACAGGCACGTGCAGAGGCGAAATGTCTTTCTATGTAGCATAACTTTAGGAGCTGGATTCGGAGGATGTTAATCTTCTGTTGATGCGAAGAATTATTACAGACCTAGCAGTCTAATAATTGCAAGGAGTCGGTACAAATGAGATATTTCATTTATTAACTTTCTGAAGCTGGCTGGTACAGCAGTTGTACCAGGAGAATGACTTTCTCAGACGCCTGCATTGGTACAACTGTCGTACCATCCATGCCCTCCCCATTTTAGAGAATCGCCTATCTGTAGATCTCTGGGTGGTCCATTGTCGCTGCTCAGAGTAGCTGCTGGCTAAGCATTATTTCCCTCTTCTTATCAGTTTGGCTACATTTTGGCAAAAACCGCAGGTTTCGTCTCATGCCAATATACTTGAAAATCAAATAGAGGCCATCTCTTTCTCAATCTGTCTCATAATTTTAATGCTAATTTTTTTAGTACTGACTTTTGCTATGATTAAAACGTCAGCGATTTTGCATGCTCTTTAAGCTTACCATATTTAATGTTTTTTAATCATAACAAAATAAGAATAGATTAATATTTTAGATTTAATGCCCTTCTAGAAAATAGGTAAAACCGCTTTTATCGTTTACTTCCTTTTCATACTTATGAATAATAAGATTTTAATTTGAAAATTTTTTATTGAGTGCATAAAAACCTTAAGAACTGTTAACTCTTTCAAAGTGCTTCTATTATGTAGGCAATTTTGTCTGATTTATCAGGAGATAAATACAGTTGTATGCATAATAGTTTTTGTGATTTTTATTCATTCAGTGATTGCTTTCAATGATTTTCATTGATTGTAAATTAAATAAAATCAATTTATCTTTAGACCCTCTTTTAGGATGAGATCTGCCAAAAAGTATTTAAATATCAGTAAAGCTCACATTACTTCTAAATTGAATCAAAACATCAGTTACATTGTATGAAATTTCGGACAGTTTTATTTGCTGAAATTCTTATACTCCTCAAGTGATAAAGGGAATTCAGACAAGTTAATAAAAAATATCTTTAAAAAAGGTTGTTATTTTGTCTGTAATAAGGTGTATGTCAATTTACTATTAAATGTATGAAAATTAGGATTGAATTACAGAAAAGCACGCAAACGCTATCTGCTTAAGGGAATGGATGCTTTCGTGTAAAGCATTTTAAGAGAAAATTGCTCGCATTTACGTTCCTGGTGGAAGACTCCACGTGTAATCAACCCGTTCTTCGGGTTTGATTGGATTAATTTTGTTTGCTTACTGAATTACATCAAAGCACACAACAATTACCTGTATAAGGGGAGTTATGCCTTCGCGGAGGACTTTCTAAGAGAAGTTGGCTTGCATTTACGTTACACAAAAACCGTGAATTTAATTATTTAGCCGGGATTCAAACCCAAGCGAGCTACAAGTGTTCAGCCACCTTTACCGCTCTACTGAAGAGCCCATAAAAATATTGATAAAGGAAAAGTATTGAAATAACCGGTTTAATTTACTAACCTATATTTCTCAATCGACAGTACATAAATTACGCATATAAGGGGGATTATTTGTGAATAAATAAACTGTATTGCACTTTTCTCTGCTATTTCATATTACGATGGAATTATTGCATTTCGAAGTTATTTCTCATGAATTAGTTTTGCTCCGTTCATGATTTTTGATATTTTCAAAGAGAAAATTCCACACTTTAAATAAAAAAATACACAAGAAGATACTTTATGCAAAATTTGGCGAAAACGGTTTTCTTAATTTTGCTTTGAAAATATTTCAGGGTAATCGTTTTCATTACTGGAAGAAATATGAAAAACAGATTTACTACATTGTGTCAACACCCAGTATGTCCTTATTCTTTCGAAAACTTGAAAGATTACTCTTTCTAAAATAAATTAGAAAATATATTATGTGCAAATAGAATATTCGTTGAAAATGAAATAGACTTCAACCTTTGGATATAACGATGGTTTTAGACGAAATTTCTACCTATGAAAAGAAATTGACATATAATTAATTCTTCATGAACATTTAAAACTGTTCTCAAAATTCTTTTGATGATTGCATGTATAGGTCACGAATTTTTTTCTCTGCTAACATAACCAAAAGCCAATTTTACAAAGAAAAATTCTCGTTAAAGATATACCTTCTTTGCCTGATAGTCCAATGTAATATACCAAGTTAAATGATTAAACGCAACCAATGTATCTCAGATTTTGATTTTTATATTATAATAACAAAATTATTGAAAAAAGCAGATTTAAATCTCTGTTATTGTTATGTAAAGCTTTATTATTGCTGTAAGTTCATCTCAAAATCTAATTGTATTGTATCTCATTCTAATCATCTAATGGTAATAAATATTATTATTATTATTATTTCATTAAATTAGTCATTACCATTATTTTATTAATGAAAATATGTTATTAAAAATCGCATTCCAGCCTGCAGACTTACAAATCTAGTCCGTATTTATTATATTTTGTTAAATTTTGTTCTCGCTTTCTAATTTCTAATACGAAAATACGCGAATATAAATGAAGAGTGAAAACAAAGTTAAAAAATTCACAAATTATTTACGAGATTGATTAGAAATAGTGAGTGAAATATAAACATTGCATACATTTTGTTCTAAATAAATTGTGCACTGGATATGCATCCGGTACTGCATATTTATTTATGCACTATTTATTTAGAACTTCATTTAAATGAAAGCAAAATAATCATTGAAAAAAATTCCAAATCTAGCAACCCCTCTACTATGGGACGTAAGCGTCCGACAAACATGTAAATTTTACTTCATCCATGGAGGGGGACTAACGACTTTTCTCATTAGGAAAATGTCAAAGAGGGGGCAAAACTGTTTCGGATCATGCCAGTCTGAAGGCTATATTATGAGAATTTCGGCCCAGTTTTAGAAGGTTAACAGAAATAATTATCACAGTATCATTCTTATTTTAAATCCTGAATTAAGTGAAAGTTTGCTTCCTCTGTATAAAGTAGGATTTTTCTTTGTAGCCTTACTAGAAACTTACTTCAGTGCTTTCTTTCCTCTGTTCTAATTATTGGATTTATCATAACTTGAATTGCATGTATGAGATACCTGCATCCTTCCATCAGACTTGCTAGCATTTCTTCAGCTTGCAGCCAAGGCTAAATCTAATTTAATGTAAATCTAAAGTAGATTTAGCCCTACAATTGCTAAATTTAAAATAGATGAATCCCCAGGTGTACTTAATTATGCGTATTGAGCACCAATGATTTGAAACCAACTACCTTATTTGTAAACTCTAGCTCTGTGTAGAAAGTCAGGTGAGTTATTGTCTAAGTCTTAAGTTTACAGTGAAAACTAAACACAGATGGTTTAAAATGAACCATTTACCAAACCAAAATGAACCAAAAAATAGATTCTTCAGACATTCGATTTCTTTAATCTGTCTATTGAAAGAATAGCTTTCACATGTTGCAGGATTAGCAGAAACTGATTTTAAGAAAAATTTAAACATTTCAGGTTTGAGATTTAAAAGATAAAACCTGCCAACAAGATTTGGCTCTGTGAGCAAACATGGCTAGCAGAGCTAAATCAGATTTGCCGAGGAAATAGTATCAAGAAAGTCAGTTAAGGCAATGAAAATGTTTTAAAGGGAAGTCTGCACTTGCATACATTAGCTAATTTAACTTAGTGTGCATCCTGACAGATTCAGAAGTGAGAGGACAAACAAAAATAACAACCTAACTTATTAATGAATGTTGAACCTTACAATTTAAGTCAGCAGGTGGAAGCTATGTTATTTAATTGCTGATAAGCACACTGTTTCTTTTTCATTTTTCCTTACTAAAAGCATAAGAGTTTCTTCTGTCGTTTTATATATCCAACCACAAGATGCATAGTACGTCCTTTCATGAGTTGTAAAACTCATTCAGACCTCTCACTTTGATACAATCTTATTCAACATCATTAAACCAAAGCAGCGTGTCCACTGCCAAGTGCATCATTGCGAGCATGCTCTTTATATGTAGTATGAACATCCGTTGAAGTGATTCTTAATAGGAAACCACACACTGCTTGGTGGCAAGCCTGTTGAATGTATTCTATGGAGAAGATCCACCTCCACCACCGTTCAGGGGATGTGTGATAGTTTTTAAATTCTGATGATAAAATATTAGAGAATATAGCATTCAGTGTGATAGCACTTATACCAAAGACAAGTTGTTTTACTATAATTCTCTTATTCATCATTAACCCTTTCAGGACCTGCGTCCCATATAGGCATTCCCTAAGAACGTCTCTTACAGCTGGGCATCCCATCCACGCATCACTAGAGATTGCATTCAAAGGAGGAGTGATGCATGTGTGCATTTTAAACTGGAATGTTTTTCTGAAGGCCGCTAGATTGTGTCCTATATCCATTACTTTTGAAATGTTTTAGGTTCCTGACCTTGAGTTTGATATATTCTGCCTGACTTTGGTATTTTACTCATCAACTATTGCAAGGGTGGGGGAGAGGTAAAGTGTAAACAGAGGTGGCTCTTTAAATCACGGTGTGCTAATCTGAACATTCGTGTGTCTGATTTATATCCAATTCCTTTTTTTATTCTAATTTTTCCCTCTAATAAGGTCTTTTAGCGTTACTATGTGGAATTTTGTTACATTTTGCATTGCCTTCAGATATCTTTCTGCTTCTTCTCTTTTTATTTCGGAAAACGTCACCTATAGTCTGTTATGGTGGGAAGGCACTATTTATCAGAGGAAGAGTACCCTCGTATGGTTAATGAACCATTTACTAATGTAGATGAGAGTGATGATTTATTTTCTAAAGACTTAGAAAGTGATACCTTTTTCTAAGAGTTAGAAAGTGATACTTCTCCGTGCTTCAAGATTTACCACACTTAGTATTCATTTTAAATTTTGTTACTTCTTACTGTAAATAGTCTTTATTGTGTTGTTTTATTAATTTTAGACTGTATTAATGGATTTTTATCAATTAAAGCTTCGGAATAATATGAATAGCGCTTCTGAAAATTATTTTACAAGATAAGCAATTTTTTAAGTATATTTACATGTAAAATAAAGAAAAAAATGTTATTAAGTGCTAATTTTAACATATATAAAAGCTCAAGTAATAATCTAAAATGATACCAAAAATTACGATGCTAGAAGTGAAACTTTTGTTTTCTGATTTTTTTTTATTTATTTATTTATTTATTTATTTATTTTTATTTTTTATAAAATTAGGTTTAGCAATGCAAAACCTCCATCCTGTATGGTGACTGCTTTCGATTCCCTTCAGTCACGCACGAGCGTCTTAAACAAAGGTGTGCCATCGCGAAAGGGTTAAGAACATATGCAAAGTAATTATTTTGTGTAACCAACTTATGACTTTTGTACATGGTAGACGTGCATGTCGTGGGAAAAAAACATCCAATGATTGGTCAGAATGAGCTTGTAATTTTAGCAGAGGGATTAGAACATATGCTGACACAGATCTGTAGACCCGAGAGTAAGAAAAGCATCATATGAAGAATCTAATTGGCTTAAAGATGCTGGCGATTTATGTAGATAACTAGGTCAAGGTCAAAACTATCCTAAAAGACGCTTTCAGGACTTAATTAGCAAGCATTGTTTAAAAAATAAAAAACTGACTTCGTTCCTTTTGCATGATAAGACACATTTTTGTTTTCAGAGGAATTTTACGCATTTGCTAGAGGGAGCAAACCATGTACCACAAACCTGAAAATATAAGCAATAGATATTGCAAAAGTGGTGGAATATTTGTCTGTGCAGACATCTTTTTGAATGGTTGCAGTGACATGCACATTTAATAAGCGCATGTCACCACTTACTAATGACTAGTTAATGGTAAAATATGAACAAATGCAGTTCTGGCATTCTAATGTGAAACTGTTTAGATGTTCATGTCTCTTACTAATATGTGATAATGTTTATCCCCATCATGCTGAAAAACAAATCTTTCATCATGAGGTTCGAAGAATCCAGCTAATGGAATAACTTGCATGTAGTCTGCAGTTACAAAAGGTACAGCGTCTGTAAGATACACCTGGATACCGATTATCATTGCTGCAGCCTTCCCTTACTACTCTTTAGGTGGCATCCAAAGTTATATATTGGTTATTAATTCTGACTGCCATATCGACTGGCTGAGGTTTGAACATCAGAGAAGTCAGCGTTGTTAGTAAGTTTCTAGTGTCTGGATGGCAAGGAAAGGCTCATATTTATATTCTATAGAAATAGCTGATTCTGCCTATTTCTTTTAATATGCAGTCATGACATGAAAAACATAATATGCAAATTCCATATTGTTAGCAGCAAAATCATTCAAGGTACATTTGTATTTATAATTTTTTCTTTAACTTTCCTCTCAGCATATTATGTGTTGCAGATATTTTGTGGTTATTTTGGATTATCTTCATCTGAACGGAAAAGTCAAAACTAATTCCAACATTTTTGGAAAGCATTTGCGAACATGCTGTCTTCTAATTCTTTGCCAAGTTATTGCACAAAATACTGGCACATTAGGAATTCTGTATACAAAGGCATTAAGTCAATGAAATTAAAAACCAAGTAGAATGGGTAATAATGCATTTGCATTTTTTGAGAAATGTTTTTCTGTAGTGTCGATTTCCCCAAACATACAGCAATTTATTCAGCTTAAAAAGAATCAGAGAATTGCAAAAACTTGACATCCTTGGAACCGTTACCTTTGGTGTCCATGCTTTGTTGACATACTGCTTTCCTCAGGATTACTTTTTTTGTAATTTTTCATTGGAGATACAGATTATCAGAATGTAGCATTTTTTATATTTGTGAATGGCATCAAATCCTTCAAAAAACATTCTTCATCAATAGGTATTATTAAGGTATAATTAAAAATGCATTCGTTAAATGCGAACTTTTTATTATTTCTGATTTTGGTTTTAAATAAATCTAATAACTTCAGCCTTTTTTAATTTAGGTTCAAAAAATGACCCAACAAATATTCCGAATGCTTCTCTTGTGGTGAAACAAGAAGTAGAAACTGAAGATGAGGATGCTGTTCAGGTCTGCATGCCTAAGACAAATGTACAAACGAATTCTGTTCTTCTAAGGAAGGAAGTCATAGTAGGATTTGATTGTATCTTGATTTTCTGAAATAAAATAATAGGAAATTATGTCAAATGCCTATTAGGATATCTATGATCTTTTCTGAAATAACATACCAATTTTTTACATATTTCGATTCTACGACTCAAATTACGCCTAAATATGAAATTTTGTAAAATTTGGAGCGAAATTTACGGAGAAATTCACAAATTTATGTTGGCACTTTTTTGTCAGTTTGCGCCAAGAATACTTCACTTGGCGAACTTCTTAATATATGGCAACCTAGTTTCCTTTCCCGTGAGAGGAAAAAAAGTCACCATCGTTCCTTTTTTCCAAATAATATTCTTTATATTATATTTTTAATTATAACTTATTATTTTAAGTAATTTTTTCTTTTTCGAATTTCATTTTAATTGTTTAAGTTGCACTTTTTTTTTTTTTTTTTTTTCGAATAACTGTTTTAAAAATTTCTATTTACCTATTCGAACTGCGTAAATAAAGGTGCAGCGTTTATTTTTTTTTTCAAATAGTTTTCTTTATATATATTTTTCGTCATAGTTATTATTTTAGGTAATTTTTAAATTTTTATACTTTTATTTTAATTGTTTGTGTTGCATTGTCTCTTCAGATAATTGTTTTAAAATTTTCTATTTATTCCTTCGAACTGAGCATTTTAAATATATTTATTAATATCAATTTTCCAGAATTTGATTTTATTTATTTGAACTGCGTTTCTTTCGGAAGAATACTTTGTAACCCAGACTACGATGCGTTTGAAAACTGCATACTATATTAAAAGAGAAAATACAGTAAAGCACAGTTTTACACGCCTTTCAATGTTCCGTTCAGAAAAGATATATATAAATAAGAGAGATGTATAACCGACATTTTAACTTAGGATGACTTGCATACACTGCTTTAAACAGTTTTATCATTGTGCCCATTGCTTTACACAATTTTATCCTACATTTGGTTTCTTAAAATGTTATTCATATTTTAGTCAAATATTTTATTTTTGAAATCGCAAGAATCAAATATCATAAGATTGAAAAGTTTTAAATTAAAAAAAAAAAAAAAAAAATACAAATACTAAATTTTACGAAAAAATTTATTTTTTCTTCTCTTTTCTTTAAGCATTCTGAAAGTATTAAAAAGTATCCAACTTTTCGAAACATTTTGGTATTTCTGACAATCATTTTAAA